CCCAGTCAGGGTACATGCCTGGGTTGCAGGCCAGGTCCCCAGTAGGGGGCGCACAAGAGGCAACCACACATTGGTGTTTCCCTCTCTTTCTCCCTTCTTTCCCCCCTCTCTAAAAATAAATAAATAAAATCTTTTAAAAATAAGTAAATAAAATCTAAAAAACAAAACAAGAAAAAACTAAGGGGCAAAGAAGTCCAATCAAAGTGCTAATTTATGTTGCATCTTGGACCGAAAGCCTGTTCCTGCCCATTTTCTTTCCATGGATGCCACTGCCATTGGGGCCACCTTCGCAGGTACAGGTGACAAGGTTAACACCTGGTGGGCAACCCAGGAGTTTAGGGATGCTCCTGCCTCTATCCCCAAATCTCCTTTACTGCCTTTTCTTGGTGGAATTTGAGAGGTCTGTTTGGAGATGTGTTCATAACCATTTGTCCTTGAGAAATGGGGGCCCTTTGTCATCCCCAAAGAAAGTGCAGAGGAGAGTGAAAACTGATTAGCCCTCTTAGTTTCCTTTTTAAAAAATGTTCTGCACCTGGTAAATTCTTCCTGATGTCAAAACTGAAATGAAAAGCTTCCATTCTGTGTAATTTAGTGGAGAAGGAAAAGAACCCAAGCCAGGCATTCTGTGTTCTGTGCACTGTGTGCAGATGTAACCAAGGATTTCAGAGCTCTCAACAGGCAGGGCAAACTCTTGAGCCTCCATTCCTATTCCCTGTGCTGCCTTCACTGGGCATGGGAGAAGTCATTCAACTTGCAACTTAAGCAAAGGCTGCGGGAGGCCCCTGAGCTCAACTTGAAAGGAAAGAGGGTATTTTTCTTTTAGAGAAAGAAAACTCATTTTCCCAATGCACCTCCGCCCCCTCCTCCTATGCAGAGGAGCTTAATTGTCATCCCTTCCTAATGAAGATGGATCAAAGCCAAACAGTATGTTCAGGGAGAAGCCAGGCAGGGGAGTTGAGTGAAGGGGTGAGGGGGCAGAAACAACTTCTCTCATGGAGAGGAAGTAATTAATTTTAAGAGAGAGCAGAGATAGGAAGCCCTTGGTAATAGAATGTCAAACTCCAAATGCAGGTGGATAAAAATTAAATCAGCACGGAGAGTTTCTTTTGTTCGTTCATTCCCTGGCTCGTTCATTCAATGCACACTGTTCTGCTGTGCGTAGACAGAGACTTCAGGTGTGCACCGGGGGGCCCAGCTCTCCATAACCACAGTGGGGTTCGGGGAACTGGGTAGGGAGAATGTGGCATCTGGAACCTGAAGCCTCTTGTCATTAGGAGAAAACATTTGCAAACGTACCACTAAATGTCTGAGTATATTGGCCTTTTGATTTTAGGATTAGTTGCTTAAATATCAACAGCTGTTGATCCCAGCTCTATCTGACCAGCTTGTTTTATCACAGGTTAAATAATAATGTCCATCTGCTCTTCTGTTCATTGATTGCATTGTCCTCTGACCAAGTATTATCCTCAGTCCAAAAAAAAGATTAGCCCCTCCCTTTCAATGTCTGTTGTGACATCACAGAATTGCCATAACAACAGACTGTGATGTCACCAGAATGCCTGGTGCTGCTAAAAGGAACCACATTAGTCAGAAAGGATTTTATCTTCCAAAGATAAAAATGGATTAATCTTGAAAGCCAGAGGGAACTGAAATTTGCTAACAAAAAGAGCATCTCAGCAGTGTAAGAACAGTGGGTCTGGAGCCTTCCTTGCTTGAACCCCTTACAAACAACCCAAGCACGTAATGTAATGGACTGCAGAGCCAGTGGGCTTGCCTGGAGGTAGGGAGATGGAAGAGGTGACCTTCTGAGGCCCTTGTAGTCCAAGGACCCTAAGTCACGGAGGGCACTGGGAGAAGGGGAAATTTAACCGTCTTTGGTGTCTGGGGAGTGCAGGGGAATGAACAAAAATGCAGATCTCCTTGCCCTTGAGCAGATCTGACAGTTGCCAGCTGGAATTGATCACATTGCATCTGGGAAGATTTTCAGAAATAAACACATGGTGACCCCCCGGAGCCCCGTTTGCTGCCCTCTTCATCGGAAGTTTTAGGAAGAAGCTTTCCTTCAATTTTGCCCAAGCAAAGAAGCCAGTTCTTGCCACCCACTCTGCCTCTGCAACACCAGTGCCCTGTGCTCCACATGCTCCTCATCAGCTGGACCACCCTAAGCAGAGGGCAAGGGAGCTGGGGCTGTGTCCAACGGGAGTGTGTCGGGGACTTGGCAGAGAAGCTTCTCTCATTCTGCTCCTGCAGACGGAAAAAGGCTGGGCAGGCGGAGAGGAGAGAGGAGACATAATCAACCTCAGCTTCCAGGCAGCGTGGCAACAGCGTGAACCGGAGCTTCATTTAACCCTTGTGCCACAGGATCAGAAGCGTCTCTGGGAAGCAAGTTGATTTCAGCCCAAGGGCCTGTGTCCTGGGCTGGGAGTTGGACACAGGGAGAGCTGTCTTCCCACAGGTCGGCTGGCTGAGTTTCTGCCATGAACCTGGGCAGGCAGCCCCAGACTCCTCCGCCCACCCAGCTGCTCTGTGTCCTTAGCTCAGCGAGGTCGGACTACCTGGAAGTTGTACACCTGCTCCACGTACGCCTGTCTCTCCATCTCAGCATTTTCTCCTTGGGACTTGGACTGGGAGGATCATCCCCTGCTCGCCTGCTCTGCCTGGAGCACTCTGATGGGCTGAATGCTGGGGAGCCACAGGCCCCCTCGGGCACCTGGGCATCCCTCCCACCACCTGGGGAGAGCCCTCCCCCTTCCCTTGTGCTAGAGCCAGGAGGAGGGGGGACCAGCAGTGTTTGGAGCTCGGCCAGGGCCCTGCGCGGGACCAAAGGACTTACTGCTCAGAGGGATGGTAGTAGCAGGGTGGCTGGTGGGTCCTCTGAGGCTGCCGAACGGGGACAGAGCTGCCAAAAAGATGTTGAAATTTCGGGCTGATCGCCGGGTCAGGTAGGGAAGTCTTCAGTGGACATGAGCCAAGCGACGTGGGAGCTTGTGGAGTTGGCAGCTCCTTAGATCCGGGGCTTCAGAGTGTGGGGTCTGCGTGACCTGACCTGCAGGAGGGAGAGCAGTTAGGTCAGTGGCTGCTGCATTGCAGTGCTTGTCAAGGGGAAGCTATTTTGAAATTGGTGTTGCTGGGTTGGAGAGAGGACGTCATTTGTAGGGGTTGCTGGGTAGGAGAGTCTGGGGCAGGGAGAGACTTGCTGTGCCCTGGAAGAAGTGTGCCAGCTGACAGCAGACTGTGTGCTTCTGTGCGTGTGCGTGTGTGTGTTTACTAGGGCCTGCAGGGAAAGTCTCAGCAGAGTTAGCTCAGGAGCATGTAGAGCACAATGGGGCTGGGGTGGCAGACAGGTGCTTGGTGCCACTAGGGAAAAGCAGAGACCTTGGCTCCTTGAGGACCTGAGCTGTCACAGACTGCCAGCCCCCTGGACCCCTAGTTAGGGCAGAGCCAGGGATGAGGGTAACTAAACAGCTACCCTCCCTTGCAAAGCTCCCCTGCAGTTATGTCAAAGAGAGTATTCTGGTTGGACCTGGCAAGGAGGGAGGGAGGAAGAGAGTTTGGGAAGTGGGAGCAGGTGATCAATGTGGTAGTGTTAGAACCCAGGCCAGGTGGACAGGGCCAGAGTTAGGGTCCTGGTCAGCAAGCCCAGGCTGCAAAACCTAGATTTCCCTTAGGCAGTAGCTGCCACCCACTGTGCTTCTGCCTACTACATGGCTTTGAATTCCATCTGAACAGGACTGGTTTGGAAGCTGAAAAAAATGCCTTTCGACATTATCTTTAGCTTCAACAGAGAGCTCAAGGGCTGAGATGTGCCTGGGGCTATTGAAAGGGGGTCTCTGCAAGTTATCTTACTTCTCTTGTGCAGCTGAAGGGACCAAGCTAAAACCTCTTTCCTCTGGCACGAGCTGACCAGCTAGCCCTCTGCTGTGGGAGAGCTAATGTGGCCAGCTGGTGTCAGGACCCACAGCCTCAGCACAGCCTCCTCTGGGATCTGCCCAAGGGTGGACTGAGCCTGCTCTGGGCTCTCAGAAGTGTCTCTCTCAAGAGGGGTGGGTGAAGGGGACCTTAACACTCTTCCAGCCCCTCACTGGCTGCATGCTTGAATCTGCTGCAGCCTTCTTGCCAGGTGGTCCTCTGTGTGCAGAACCCATCTCAAATGGCTGCCATCTGTGGCTTAGACCCACTGTACCCGCCCCCTCCCTGCTCTACTTACTGCCCCTCCCCCCATTTCCCCAAAGAGTCACCAGGGAACTAGCTTGACATTCACTCCGCTAGAAGAGCCACAGCAGGACTTCCCAAAGGAGCCTCCACAATATTACTCCCCATCTGCCTCTGCCAGGAGACTCCGCCCCTGGCTCCCCCCTGCTTCCTGCAGGCCGTCCTTACAACACCCCACTCCTGGGCCACCCATCCCTTCATTAGATCTGACTGTTGAGCCAGCACCTAACCCCTGAGGTCTCCACAATATCCGGTAGCCTGGGAGACCCTGGACTTAGGGTGAGGATGGGTTCCAGCCCAAGCTCAGGAATGGAGTTTCTGGATCTCTTACTTCATTTAAGGGCATGGAACACAGAGCAGGGTAGGAAGGAGTCCAAGGTCACGAGAGAATTCTCTCAGCAGAAATGAGTGAGCAGTTTTTATGTGGAGCACTGGCAGGCGTTGTCCGTAGGGAGAGCCGCCACGCATGACATCTTCACTCTTGGATCCCCTCCCTGCCCCACCCACGTAACTGCCTAGGACGACCACCGAGAGGGTTAAATGGAGCTTATTTCCAGCCTCAGGGATCTCTAGTGAGTGGTTAACACTGGCTCGTGAGAGGTGTGTTTTCCACCCTCCACCTGGCTGCCGCTGTGTCTCTCAGCCTCTCCCGATCCCACTGGGGGACAGAGGAGTGAGCCTCTGCATGGTCACCAGCCCTGTTACTGCTCAGTGCCTGTCCACCCTAGGCTTGTGTTTGTGCTTTCTTCATCTTGACCACAACTTCTCTCCCCATTTTGCCTCCACAGCCACAATGAAAGACGGAACACATTTCTACACCCAGTGACCGGCCAGGTCCCAGAGGAAAACAAAAAATTTGACTTGAAAACGTAGGTTTGCTCCACTTACTCACTAACCTCTCCGTATTTAACTGCACCACCCCACTGCCACTTCACAGCTGGGAAGGGAGAGGGGATGGGGAAGGGGATCGAGGGGATTTAGGGTCAGTCCCTTCAGTTCTGAGGGCTGGAAGCCTCTGAGGCCCTCTGGCTTAACAGCCTCGTCCACTTTTCCCAAAATCTAGCAATTCTCAGGTGGGCGCACATCACAGGTGAAGCTAAAGCAGTGAGACAGGCCCGAGTCTGGAACGTCACCCGGGGGCTGCTGGGGGGAGCAGGGAGGGGACCTGACACAGTCCCGAGAGCCAAGTGCTGCTTCCACTCGCTCTGGATCTTGGCTCAGCGGAAGAAAGGAAAAAGATAATTAGATGACTCTCACAGTGCACTGGGCTATTGTGTATTTTAAATTAAAAGGAAAAGGAGTCCAGAGTCCTACGGTTGAGCTTTTTAAAATAAACTTATAGGAAAGAGGAAACAGTCAGGATTACTGGCATACAATCTCAGAAGAGCAGAGGGAGCAGTAAGCTGACCTCCTGATGGCACTCAGGGTCTAATTTTGTGCTGATGTTGGAACAGTGGGTGGCAGGGTGGGAAAGGGAGGGCGGCTTCCACTGTTTCTTGGTTCTGAATAGCTCTTTCTTCTCTTCTGGTCAACCTGAAATCAGATCGGCTTTGGACATGTCCAATAAAGCAGGTGGGAAACGCCCGGCTACCACCAACAGTGACGTATCCAACCACAACATGGTGTCTGAGGTCCCTCCAGAGAGGCCCAGCGTCCGGGTGAGTCCAGCCTCCGAGGCAGGCTGTCGGTCAGCAATCCTAGGAAACATATTGGCCCATCCAGCTGTGTCTGCAGGCTCCAAAGAGCAGGCGAGGTACTCAGACTAGAACCTCATAGACAATCAACATCTAGACGCAGGGTTCTCAGCCTCGGTGCTATTAGCATTTTGTGTTGGATAATTCTTTGCAGTGGGGGGTTACTCATGATAGGCTGCTGAGCAGCCTCCTTGGCCTCTACCCACTAGATGCCGGTAAAACCCGCCTGGTGACAATCAAAAGTGTCTCCAGGTATGGTCAGATGTTTCCTGTGAAATAAAATTGTTCCACCCCCTTTGAGAACCACCAATCTGGAGGACAGTGAAAGAAGAATAATAACTCATGAAGTACATGACAGCTGAGAGCTCAGAAAGGGAGGAGGAGGGAAGAGGGTCCCAGGAGGAAGAAGTAATCTGGAGAACGATGTTGCCAAGGGGTCGGTATGACAAGGTCTCACTTAGATGAGAGCGTCCAGGGGGTTAAACAGCACTGTGGCAACTGGACGCCTGACTGGGGCAGTCCAGTGGTGTGATGAGGGTAGAAGACAAACCAGAGAGGGCTGAAGAGGAGGTGGGGGTGAGGGTGGGGGGAGATGTAGACACACTGGAGAGAAGAAACTGTTCTAAGAAACTAGATGACCAGCGGTGGTCTGGTCGTGCAGTGGAGTGCTCTCCGAAAACCAAATGGACTAGAACTCTGTGTGTTAACAAGGATAAACTTGAAAACATAATGGTGAGTAAAAAGCAAGTTGCAGACTATGAAAAATATATTATTTATGTAAAATGTACAAACATGAAAAGCAATACTACATATTTATAGGTAACTATGAAGTACAAGCATATAACCATGGACAGGCTGGCTAATTTTGGGTCAGTGGTTGCCTCTAGGGAGGAAGGAAAGGTAATGAGGTTGCAGAGGGCCTCAAAGGGCGTTTCGGGTCTATTTGCTATGTTTTATTAGGGAAAAAAATTAATACATGGTGGTAATTTATTCCATACTTTTCTAAATGTTTGAAACATTTCAAAAAAATACTTTTAAAGAAACTTGGCTGTTGAAGGGAATGAGGGGCAGAGGGTGGAAGCTAGAAAGATATGCAAGATGGAGGTAGTTTTCTTTGTCCATTTTGTTTTGTTTCAAGATGTTAGAAGCAGGGGTGGAATGGCCCAGTGGATAGGTTCAGGAGAAAGGGGTTAGCCAGTGAGTCACAATTCTGTGGAGACCAGAGTCAGATGCAGAGGTGCTGTAAGCCGGGACAGGGAAGAGATGCTCTTTCCGAGACTGCATTAAAAAAAAAAAAGGCATTAGAAGTGCGGGAGGGCAGGGAGTGGCTCTACGAAATTAAAGGCATCCCCACCTGTCATCCTCAGCTTTTTCTGGGAAGTAGCAGGGAGGGTCGTGTGCTGAGAAGAGCTGGGTGGGTGGGGAGGCACTGGAGATTTGAGGATATGCCGAAGGTTTGGAGAGCAGGAACAGTGGTCAACAAGGGACATATGAACGATTACTCTATAGGGTGAAAAGGTCATCTGAGGTCATGGACTCAATCTGTGTGGCTCCAGTCCCCAGGTGTGTGGATTTCCTCCAGCAATGCTCATAGTCTAGCTGTGGAAGCAGGGAAGGCAGGTGGTCGAATTGACCTAAAGCCGAGGGTTGCTAGGGAGCAGTGACATAAAGACAAGGAGGCTGGAGTATGGAGGGTTGGCAGGAGATTAGCTGGGGTGGTGAACTATGGGGAGCAGCCTCTAGGCTGCCCTGAGGAGGTTATGACAGTGATGGACTGAGAGGAAAGGCAAGGATTTGGGGACTTGCTTATTGTTAGACTTCAGATGGCTAATCTCAGCCATATATGTGGGATTTTACAAGTAAAGTTTGGAAAATGGTTTTATTTCCTAGTTTTGGGGTACTTTATAATAAAGCCTAATTTCTTCTTTTCTTCCTTCTACAAGTATTTAGCATGCTTCATATAGCCAGATCTCTTGCTGGGCTCTGGCAATAAAGAGATAAACGTTCCTTTCTGTGAAGAGCTCACAGTCTAGTGAAGGGAATGGAAGGCTAGGACAGTTTTAGACTATAACTTTCAGACTATAAGAGTGGATGGAGAGGAGGGAGCAGCTAACTGTTCTTGCAGGGGCAGGGGCAGCAGTTGGCAGGTTTTGTGGAGTAGTGGGTCTGCACTAGGCTTTAAAGAATGAATTGGGATTTGTTGATAAGGGGCCTGGGGCTCTCCCTCCTCGTGTGGAAGAGCAAGGGAACCAAGGAATTGGGTGCAGGAGAGAAGCATAGGCATTAGGCATGACCAGGGGTCAGTTAGGCCTGTCTGCTAACACGGCAGAAGGTAGGTGATGGGCTCTTCCAGGTCTTGTAGACCTGCCTTTGTGTGCTGTGCTGAGTAATTTGAATTCACTGCTAAGTGATAAGTGGTAGTGAGAGTGATGGGATTATACTGTGTTTTAGAAAGGTAACCTTAATTCATGGCAGAGGCTGGACAGAGGAGATGACAACCTGTGAGGCAACAAGTGGAATTTGAGGACTTTTAGGCAGATGGACTCCTTAGTCCTGCATAAGTGATTGTATAAAGGAGTGGAGGGGACAGCGTGCGGCAGTTTGGAGCGCTGGTCTGGGTGGCTGGGAGGACTGTGCCATTCACCAGGAGCAGAGACATTGGAGAGCAGGTTTGGTTAGAAAGAGGATGAGTTTGGTTCTGTACTTTTCTTAATCTTGTGTGGATAACCAGTTGCCAAATGAACTGGGGCTAGGAGAGACGTCTTAGATATAGGTTAGGGAATTGCCAGCATATTGCTGGTAGGGGAGGTTATACGGGCACAATGTATAATGATATGAACAGGAGTAAAAGGATAAAAGTTTGGTTGAGCTCCACCAGCACTCAGGTAGAGGGAAGGGAGAGGAGGAAAGGCCACAGATGGAGGTATTGAAAAGGACAAAGAGCATCACAGAGACCAAAAGAAGAGTCTCAGGAAGGACAGTACGACTGATACTGTCCAGTGCTTTAGAGTTGTCAGGGACTGCACACGCTTGCTTCAATGTCATCGCAAGAGCCATTTCAGACAAGAGGTGGAGGAGGGTTAGGAGTGAATGGGAGGAGAGAAATCAGGACTCTTCCCAGGAGCCTATTTCTGAAGAGAAAGAGGGAAGGGAGGGAAGGTGTTACCTGACATCAGGCAGGGTTAAGGGGGCATTTAGGGGTATGAAGGGCGAGGGGGAGATAGAGAGACAAGACAGAGAGAGAGAGGCAGACAGATGCTTTAAGATGGAGCTACCTGAGCATGTTTGTGGAGAAGCTGCCAGTGGAGAAGGAAAAGTGGAAGACAGAACTGAGAGGAGATTATGATTAATGGAGCAAAGCCTCAGAGGAGACGGTGGATTGGGCGTGTTAGCCTTAGAAAGGATGGCAACTTTTTTTTTTTTTTGACATTGGAGGGAAAGAGACAAAGACAGGTAAGGACAATAATTTTCTGGGTAAAAGGGTGTGAAATTGAGGGAGTGCGTGTCTGATAACATCAATTTTCTCTGTAGAAGAGGATCCAGGCCCATTGCAGGGAGGGCAGAGGGAGAAATTGCAGGGCTGGGGGGACAGTGGGGGTGCAGAATGGAGGTGCCATCTGGGGCTGAGCCCAGCTGGGGTTGGGGACTGTGGATCTGCAGTGGCCTCATCTGTATCACGCACGATTTTTCAGCCGCAGCCATAATCTGGCTGAGTGGAGGGAGGATAGATAACTGTGACTATCTGGGATTTTGAGTTTTAGAGAAGATCAGGCAGAAAGACAGCAGAAAGAGGGTGCAGTTGATCTACTTTACCAAGGGCCCTACACTTTGTAGAGAAATAACTAAAACCATGAGGTGGCTGATGGAAAGAAAGGGAAGAATTGAGGAGCTGGGGGTCCCAGTGGAGTGAGAAAGCCCAAAGAATGGGATGTTGTGGTCAGAAAATGGGAATATTAGAATTGAAGATGTTAGCGATGAAGAGGCTCTGGTGCTAACCAGGTCTAATGTGCGGCCATGGGAGACAGTGCTGGGTGGCAGTGGAGGATTCTGAGTTGAGGACATCAAGGTCATATAAAGTTAAGGCATCAGATGGGTCATTTTAAAGAACAGTGCCCTACGGATGGCAAAACTGAATGAAAAGGGTGACTGGCTCTGCAAGAATGCTCGAGAAGCTGAGAGTGATGAGAAGGACTCCATGGTGGAAGGTCCATCTGCCTCTGGTGACTCAGGAAAGAGGGGCCGTTGCCGGAAGTGGAGGAACGGCAGGGCCCCCACGCGATGAGGAGCTGGAGCACGCGTGGGTGCTCCCTCCTGGCCGGGGTGGGGTGAGCGTGTGTGGGGACGAACAGGATTCTGAGGGGACGGTGATGCAGGAGTAAGGACAGCAAAAGAAGGGTAGGCTGGGAGTGAAATGAAAAGTCTTATTTTCTCTTCAAGAAAACCCCCAAGCCCCCACTGCTGTCAGGCAGGCAGGATTATTCTTTTTGAACCCTATTTTAGAAATCAGAGAAAGAATCAAAGACTTAGGAGGATGTGCTCTTGACTTAGTAACAGATCCAAGATTCACACGTGGGTCTGTCAGCGTGAGGGCACCTTGGGGTGACCCCAGAGAGGTACAGCCGCTCCCCTGGTCAGTGGAACAGGAAACAGGAGAGGGACAAAGTCAGGCCGGCTTCTCTCTGTGCCTCCCTAGGCCACCCGGACGTCCCGCAAGGCCATTGCCTTTGGCAAACGCTCACACTCCATGAAGCGAAACCCCAATGCCCCTGTCACCAAGGCAGGCTGGCTCTTCAAACAGGTGAGACCCCCTCTGCCATTCCGCCCCCATGCCCAGCACTTTCCCCTTGTAGCACTGTGAATCCTCTGTGGTTACTATAGTCCACATCTATTGTGGGGTGTCCTCCCATTCCTCGTTTGATATATCTTTGTGAATGAATCTTCTAATTTTATGAAAGCTCAGAGAAGTCAAGTATCATCCCAAAATCACACAGAACAATTAGTGCCATATTTGGGAATCCAGCTAGATCTCCTAATAGACAGATACAGTGGTTTTGAAATATGCTGGGTGACCTACCCAATTGGAGCAACCTAATGGCTCATCCTCAGCTGGTCCCTCTTGCTATGGAAAGGGGGGTGGTGGCAGTGTCTCCTTGAAATCTAGGGTCCGGCAGTTCTCCCCTCAGCCTTGCCACTGTCCCTGCCTGCCCTCTGCTCTATCATTCTGGCTCATCTTTTGCCCTTTTAATCTTCCCCATAGGGGAAGGCACTGAGGCCAAGGATGACAGAACTGAAGGTCACTGGCAGTAATCCAATGTCAGGTTCCTGCATCTGGGGACTCAAGGGGGTTGCTGCCACTTGTTAGTGGCTGAGCTCTAACCAGAGGCAGGATATCCCTGTAGTTAGTGCAGCACTTTTCCTATCACATCCCAGTCTCCCTCGTGCCCAGCTCACAGCCCCCGTCTGTCTCTGTCCACCTGCCCTGCAGGCCAGCTCTGGCGTCAAGCAGTGGAACAAGCGCTGGTTCGTCCTGGTGGATCGCTGCCTCTTCTACTATAAAGGTGAGTTTGCCCCTAGGCCAGTGGGGGCAAGAGTGCCCACTGCTCTCTCGCATTCTGCCAGGTCACTGGGCTCTGCTTTGGATGGACTCTGGGGGAGGATGGATCTCTACCCTGCAGTCTCCAGCACCAGTGGGGTGTCACCATGGGGTAAAAACAAAGCTCACTTGCCCATGCATTCACTCACTTACATTCAATATTTACCAAGTGCCTACTGCTTTTCAAGCAGAGTTCTAGGCCCTGATTGGAGATAGAGAGGGTGAACTGGACAGTCCTATGACAGATGGTGAAGCCCGGGGGAGAAGAAGGGGAAAGAGAAGAAGGTCCCTAGTCACTATTAGCAGGTCACCTACTAACTGGGGCCTGTATGCTGGTCTTCCTCCTGTTCCATGGGATGCACGATCCGATGTGTGAAGACAGCAATTTTTGTCCATTTTGTTCACTGCTGTATCCTCAGAGCCTACAGCCATGCATGGCACATAGTAGGTGTTCCATCCATGTGGAATAAATGAATGTCCCTGGTGTCTGCCCTTGTTGCACACCCAACGCTCACTCCTGACCCTCTCCAAGAAAGGAGGGCAAAGATCTGATGACATTGGTGCAGCAATGTCATCTCTAGGAAGTTCTTTTTAAAATGCACATAGCAAAATTGTGTCAGGGGGGCACAGGGGACTAGTGAGGGTGATGACAGTGGCAATGCCGTCACACAGACGTGGGGCACTGGGTAGAGTCGGGTGAAATGACTTGGCAGTAGGGGAGACTGTTCCCTTTCTTTCCCTCAATGTTCTCCAAGCCCTCCATGCCCCGGGCACGGCAGAGCCTGGTCTTCTCTGGGCCTTCCTGGAGCAATTCAGTGAATCATTAACTTTGGCAAACAGAGGTCGTTCCCCGTGACACCCCCACCCCCACCACGCTGCTGTTCCTGTGCCCTGAGTTGCTGCCACCTGAACTCTGAGGGGAAAAATCAGGAAGGGGCTGCATATATAGGGTCCAGCCATAGAGGAAACCCCAAGATTTGGGGAGGAGCGTCTGCCCAGCCTGGGCCTCTGGGATAGGGGGCTGCTCTGCAGCCAGAGTATGGACAAAGTTGGGGAAGAGCCAGGCTCTCCTCACAGGAGAGACTCCAGGCATGAGGGCAGACCCTTAAAGTTGCGCACTTCAAGGGACACTGCTGCGGGGCCACTGATCTCTGAGAGATGCTGTTGGGAGAGCCCCTGAACACAGGCCTGGACAGTATCAGGCAGAGGCCCACCTCCTCCAGGGGCCTACAGCCTCTGTTTTCCTAAAGAAATCTGGGTCTCTAGTCCTGGGATCTCCTGCTCCTTAGGTTTAGCCCCTCTCTGGGTACCACCCTGAGGCCGGCACAGGAAGCTGGATGTTGGGTCAAATATCTTGTGCAAGTGATGAGTAAGAGGAAAAAGAACTAGTGGAGTTTATAAATCCTATCCGAGAGTTTTACAGGGTCTCCTGCCCAGGGAATACAGAGCAATCCTGGGCAAGTATGGAGGGTCTTACCATGGCCTCGTGGCGGCCCACTTCCTGTCCCACAGAACACCCCTGCCCGTTCGCGTCTCCCGCTGACAGCTGGTGGCCCGACTAGCTAATCCATCAGGCTGCTTTGGAGGTTCAGGATGAATTATGTAATAGCCCAATTGTTAGCCTGATCCAGGGGCCTGAGGGCCAGGAGGCCATGCAGGGGCAGGTCTTCCCCGAGGCGTGGGCCTGGGAGCGCGGGGGGTGGGGGTGGGGTGGGGGGGTCGGGGGGTGTCTACATCAGGAGAGGACAAAGCAAGCTGCAGGGTGCCTGGGAGAACCTTAGGAACAGTTACCCAGAGGAGCCAGAGCCGAAGAGGAGACTGTCCACTCTCCCATGCCCCATCCTGGTATCCTGCTATGTGTATGGCTGTCAGAATTGTCTTGTGTTGGACGGGCACTATGCACAGTGGAGTGGTTAAGAGTGATAGCTTGGGAGTCAGACTCCTTGGGTTCAAAGACCAGCCCACCACTTTGAAACCTTGGACAAATTACTTACCCTCCCTGTGTCTCAGTTTCCCAACCTATAAAATGGGGGTAATAACAGAACTTGGTCAGAGGATTGTGGAGAGCGTCAAGTCCATGAAGGCATTTTACTCAGAACAGAGTCCGATGTAGACTGAACACTCCAAAACAGTAGCTCTAACTGATTTGCTAACTGGTGGGCCAGAATGTCAGCTTCCTGAGGGCGGGACTACTTGCCTCTCATTCACTTCTAGACAGGTCTAGAGCGTGTCCGCAGAGCCGCCACGTGCCCCAGTGCCCTACCTCCAGGGAGTGTGCCTCTTGGTGTTGTGCAGAGCACACCCTGTGTGGTGGTGTTTGGTGGCCCTGAGTGCCTAATAGTAAGTGAGCGACAAAGATTTATTCCAACTTATCACAACAGAGCTGACGTGCTCCTCTCCCCTCTCCCCCTGCAAGTGCACACACATCTCACCTGGGCCTCTGTTTCCTGGCAGATGAGAAGGAGGAGAGCGTCCTGGGCAGCATCCCCCTCCTGAGCTTCCGGGTGGCCGCCGTGCAGCCCTCAGACAACATCAGCCGAAAACACACCTTTAAGGTCAGTTGGCCTTCCTCTCCCAGGCCAGATGGAGGAGGGAGGCCTGTTCTTCCAGAGCATAAGGGGACGGAGAAGGGTCAAGAGCCACCTCCCACAGGAGTCTGAAGTGGCGGCAGAGGGAGGGAGTGGGCGGTGGCCCTTGGACTCAGTGCAGGCTGTCCTAAGGCTAAGGTGAGGCCGTGCCGGGACCCCTTCCTGTTTCCTGCGGGGTTGGGTGGGCGATTCTCCCCAGGGTGGACCAGTAGGGATGTGCTTCACTGGTACCACAGTTTTTTCCAGGGGTGGCAGGAGGAGTGCATCAGCCCTGTTGGGATGTAGATCAGTAAATGTAGCCCAGTTAATTCCTGAGCCTGTGCACCCTCTGCCCTGTGGCCTGGCACCTGGGAGCCCTTCGTAGCAGAGGCGGGAGCTATAGGCTGGAGGGGCTGAGGTGCTTTCTGGAAACCTAGATCCACAGTCAAACTCACTCAAATTTCAATCTCTAGAGAAAATTAGGACTTGAGTTTCATTACAAGCAAGAGAAGCAAACCTCGTGTAGACATGTCGAGAGAGCGGGTATGCAGGAAGATGGGCCTCACCGGCCTGCTCACCGTGCTGCCCACCCCCCCCCCCCCGCCCCGGGCCCCCCCGCCCACAGCCCTCGGGATCCACCCATCAGGGGCTGCAGCTGGCTCATCCTAGGCAGTGTATTTTTACATTTAAAAATTAATGACCTATTAAAAATGATAAAAATCCCAGGCTCTTTTTGTATTTTATGATGTAAAGACCCTAGGTTCCCTTTCATTTTCCACATACGGAATTCTGATGTTGCCCATGCCCTTTCTTAGCACAAAGCCCCTCTCTGCAAAGGAGAGTCGCTGTCCAAGGGCCTGAAAACCCCAGGCAGTGGCGTTGGCGTTGGACCGTAGGGCCTGCAGGCCACCCAGGGTCAGTGCTCAGAGACTGACTGCCCTTTTCTGTCCTTTGGCCTCTGGTCACCTAGCCACAGAGAAGAGGTGGGCAGCACACACAGGTGCTGCTCTGGGAACAAGGAGGGACTTCTTTGGCACATAATTAGTTTCCAGCCTCCCGGGTCCTGTCTGCCAGAGGTGTGAACAGAATGAACAATTAATAAAACTCTGGCTCCAGGGAGCCGGGTTCTAGCTGGGGAAATAGGAACAGGCTGTTTAACCAACAACAAAACCCTGCTATACACAGACACACACACACCCACACAAGCAGACGGCCTGTCTCACCCTCCCTTCCAGACCTGTGCAGACACAGGCGCACTGCAGCGTGTGGCTCAGCAGGCATCAGATGACACCGATGACTGACACCCACCCACCCTAAACCCCAGGCTTTACTTCTGTGCCTGTTAGCCCCTCTCTTCCTTCCCCGTCCCCGAGGCGCTCACTGCCCCTTTAAGCCAACTCAGAGAGCTGTGCTCAGTGGCCACAAAGGGCTCCAATTGTGGCTATTCAGAGGCCCTTCCCCAGGGAAGGGAGGGTTGCTGAGACAGATGGGAGGCTTGTCCTGCTGTGGCCACCAAGCGAGACTCTTGGATGACTGGTAATGAGCCCGGACTGTTCCTGCCCAGCCTACTGCTGAATGCTTTAACCTCTTCCTACCCCAGCCCCTTGGGGGCTCAGTGGCCTTCACCCTGCCGGGGCACCTCCCTCAACTCTCTGGTCCCCCTTCCTGGTTCCAGGCTGCTTTTCCCTCCCGGCTCCCCTCCAGGGGCCCTGTCTTCCCCAGGCCCTCTGCCTTCCCCCATCGCCAGCGGTTGTTCCCAGGCCTTTGCTCCCTCCTGTTTCCCCGTGGGCATGTTGTGTCCTCCAGCTTAGCCGTGAGGCCTTCAAGTGCAAAGAGCCTGTCTTTGCTTTCCTTGTGCCTGGTGCCCAGAGCAGTGCTCTGCACTCACAGAGGCTTGTGAGATGCTTAGCAAATCAGCTCATTCGCTCCCGACTCCGACTGGCCCCAGGACACACCCAGAGTCCCCATGTGTCTCCCCTCTACCCTGGCTCTGTCCTCCACCACAGGAGGCTGGCCTGAGCCCTGGTCTCCATACCCCTGTGCAGTTCCAGCCTCCAGACACCGCCTTACAGCTCTCGGCTTCTCCTCAGCACCTCCGTGCTGGGCCCCCTGCTGGAGGGTGGGGACCGGCAGGATCCAGAGGAAGGAGGCCTCCCTCTGTCCATAGAGAAGGAAGACTAGCCTCAGTGCGAAAGGGCTCCTGCAGGGGAAGTCCCATGCAGGGGAACGTGGCTACAGCGGAGTGAAGGTCCGGCCAGGACAGCATTTGGAGGGTGTGGGTTTAGTGCTGCTGCTCAGGAGAGCCCTGGGGCTTGTTCTGAGAAGACCTGTCCTCTCTGCTTTCAATCCCCAGAGACCCAGGATTTAGCACCCAAGGGGTCAGAGGCCAAAGTGAGGTTCCCATCTGAGACTCTTGATCATTTTTGGATCTGTTATGCTGGGTGGGCTAAACACGCTTTCCCTGGAAGATTGAGGGTCTCACTTAGGGGATGTGCTGAGGTCCCAGAAAGAAACCTAGCTCGGGAGGATCTCCTCCCTGTGGCCTAAGAATCTTTAGTTTCACTAGGTAGACCCCTCCCCATTAATAGACGTGTGCATTAAGGCCAGAGATGGTCAGGAGCAGAGCTAGCATTAGTGCTGGGATTCCCTGACTTCTCTCCACCACCAGCCCAAATTCCCTTGGTGCAAGCTGTCCACTCCCCTCCCTGGTGGGCAGATCGGGCATTGCTGGGTGCTGTTGTCCCGATGACACCACTAGAAGGGGATGGTTTGACTAGCTCCTCACTTTCGTCTGCTTCTCAACATTCCTGCCATGTCGTCTCCTGTCTCTCCCTCTGGTGATTGATTGACCTGTTCTCTGCTTCTCCTTCTTCTGACTGCGTGAGGACCCCTCCTCTGGACAGGAGCTCTCTCCTGGGTTCCCGCCTGCCGCACCTGCTCGCGGCCGCCAACTAGGTAGCGTGCTCTGACCACCTGTGCATGCCCCTTGCATGCCACAAGAGGGAGACCTGGCTGTCTCTGTGCAGAACAGACAGCACTAGCTTCTCAGAGGCCGAGAGATTGGCCTGTGCTGGGGGCATCTCTCCCAGACATTCGGTAATTGCCCCTCAAATCAAAGACAGAATTTGATAGGGGAGTGGGTGTGGTAATTGTCCCTCCTGCTTATAATCACCTCAGGTGGGGCAGGTAAAGTTACCTGGGCTGCCCTGTGGTGTCCAGGGAGCTGGCCAAGGCAGGTTCCTGAGCGCCAGCCGGAGCACTTGGTGTACGTGCAGGCTACCCACCTCACGTTACTCCTAAGCTCCATGTGGGAAAAAGTGCTGCAGGTCAAGGGAGTGGCCTTCCTGACCACCTGTTCTGTGGGCATGGGTGTCTTCTCCCTACAGGTGACCGTGTGCTGGGTGGACGAGGCCGGGGCCGGTTCCACGCACTGCCTCTCCCCACAGGCTGAGCATGCTGGGGTTCGCACCTACTTCTTCAGTGCTGAGAGCCCTGAGGAGCAGGAGGCCTGGATCCAGGCCATGGGGGAGGCAGCCCGAGTGCAGATCCCCCCAGCCCAGAAGTCCGTGCCCCAAGCTGTGCGTCACAAGTGAGTGCCAGGGTCTGGGCCCGGGGTGGGGAGTGCTAAGGAAAAAGGAAGCAGGAGGCAGTGCTGTGCTCTGTGCCGTCACTGAACCCAGTGTGCTGTCTTGAATTGCTGAGAGCATGTCTGACTGAGTGATTTCAGACCTGGTATTCTCTTCCCCTGACCGCTCTTCGTCTTCTCTCTGAGCTGGCGGAGCCCCAGAGAGAAGCCAGGTTCCATGGGGGCCTGGCCAGGAGCCCAGGGCCGGGGTCATTTGTTCACTTTGTCTTGGCTGTGCATGTTAAGCACGCAGCCTTTGGAGGTAGGTGGGCTCAGGTTCAACTCCCAACTTGGTCACTTGCCCCGGTGCCACCTCAGTGTGACTTAACCGCCATGAACCTGAGTTTCCTTTCCTCAAAGATAGCAATTACCATCCTGACTCACAGGTCATTGTGAGGACTAAACAGTATGTAAAACGCTTGCTACGTCATAAATGCTGAGTGCGTGGCTGTGCCCAGCACTCCCTCGTCCGTAGTCTGGGGGTCTGTCTCTGCTTGAACTGGGAGCTGAGTATTGAGTTAGACATTGAAGGGGTTCCTAACGGGGATCCAGAAGGAGGTGTTAGAGTATCAACTCCAGGTCTAGTCACATGTCTTAGAAATGTTTACCAAGCAAGGTCTCAGCAAGGACACTTGAAGATGTTGACTTTGAGAAACTATAGGGAGAATACCTTCATGAGATTCCACTTTTGTTTCACCCAAGAGGCATATTTCCAGAAGGCTGCTCATTCGCTTCATAAATATTTACTCTAAATGGAAATGTATAAGGGACTCTGTCAGGTCTAGGAAAACTAGGGAGCAAAATTCTGACATGATCCTGCCTCGCAGAGCTGATGTTCCAACAAAAAGTTTGTCCTGGGAGAAGCTTGGTTTTGAGAAGGGAACTAGCATGTTTCTATGTCTGTGAAGTTTGAGGCACCGTCCCCTGTCCTGGCGCCTGCCGTGTTTGACCCCAGAGCAGTCCGGGGAGGGGAGGCATCATTATCCCCGTCCTTGCCGTCAAGGAGCCCTGGGCTCATGGAAGGTGAGGAACTTTCTGTGGGAGAGAGGGCTGACCTGTGACAAGCCTCTGGAGCTGGGACATCAAAGACGGTTGGTGTTGTGAAACCTTAGTGCAGTGTCTGCCAAGTTTGGGGGCTGTATCAGGGACAGACTGCACAGGAGACCTGGGCTTGGTGAGGCTAGTCTTGGCCACAGCTTGAAGGCTGGGCTAACAGCAGGTCAGCCGAAGGGAGTGGAGCGACCCGTGGGAGGAGACCTGGAGGGCAGAATGAGCGTGCCGTGCATAGGCAGAATCTGATGACTTTTTATAATTATAATAACTGGGAAACAGAACCGAAATGTATTAAATTCTGTTCCTACTGCTACCTTTCTGCCCAAACTTCTTTGCTCCTTTCTCCCTCCCAGTGTACCACCCCCTACCCAACTCCGTGCCGGGCTGGAGTCACTTACAACATCTCCCTTGCCACCCTGCAGCCAGGAGAAGCCAGACTCAGAAAACATCCCACCCAGCAAACACCTCCACCAGCCACCTCACAACAGCCTCCCCAAGCCTGAGCCAGAGGCCAAGACTCGAGGGGAGGGGGATGGCCGAGGCTGTGAGAAGGCAGAGAGGAGGCCTGAGAGGCCCGAAGTCCAGGGTGAGCCTCTGGTGAAAGTCAATGGCATCCAGGCTGGACTGGAACCAGCCTCAGAACCAGGCAGCCCTTACCCTGAGGGCCCAAGGGTCCCAGGGGGCAGGGAGCGGCCCACCCAGCCCAACGGCTGGCAGTATAGCTCCCCAAGCCGACCAGGGAGCACAGCTTTCCCGCCTCAGGACTCGGAGAGCGGGGGACACCGGCCAAGCTTCACCCCACACGCGAACCCCGACAAGATTGCCCAGCGCAAGAGCTCCATGAACCAGCTTCAGCAGTGGGTGAACCTGCGTCGGGGGGTGCTCCCACCTGAAGATCTTCGGAGGTGAGGCCTGGGGTAAAGCTGGGGTGTTGTCATGACTAAGGCTGGGTGGCGGGGGTAACATGAGAGGCACCCAGTTGGAAACCTTCTGGAAGCCAGACTGTGTTGGGAAACCAAGAAAACCCCAGGACTCCCAGCTTGCCCCAATCCTTTCCTGCCCTGTGGCTCTCCCTGCCCTTGATTTTGCTTTCTGTCTGCTTCCTCCAGAGGGAGGAACAGAGTGCCCAGTGTCTCTCCACAAGGGTGTTGGGTGGCCCCGGAAACAGGCTGGCGATCCTAGGGAGGGGCCTTAAAGTTGTTTCGGCCAGACATCTGTCCATCTGAGCCTCCACCCTCTTACAAACAACATCCTCTGTTCCGGTGTTTCTGCTAAGAGGAGACTCACTGATCAACTGCCAAGCCAACTCCATTTTTGAATGGCTCTAGTTGTTTGAAAGCCAATGTTTATAGGCAGTTTTTAAAAAGAGAAAAGAAGGAAAATGTTGCCACTCACTGATCCTAGTTCTGCCCTCTGTACCAATTTCCTCCTTTATCTGGTGACTCTGGCCTTCAGACATCTGAAGGGACTTACTGGGCCCTGGGGTCTGGGCAGCTCAGAACTGCAGGTAACAGCCTCGGGCAGGCTGCTCACTGCCCGCAGTCCGGCGCCCGGGGCCTCCGGCCTGCCCGGGGTGGGGTGCAGGGGAGTGCCTCCCTTCATAGGAGCCCCATAAGATCAGGGAAGCCACTGTTTGTCCCCCCTCTGCCCCTTTCCCCCAGGTGTCCGGCACTCTTGCTTTCTTCTGTTTGCCTCTCTGGGCAAGATCTGATAAATCAGTTCGCACTGAGATAGAGATGGCTAATAAGGCTTAAAGTTTCTCCCCGGGGGTATTTCATGTTAAAGAGGCAAAGATGGAAGCTCTGACGGGTGGACTTTTGGGCCTCAGGGAGCTGGTTGAGGGAGGAGCTCTGAGAATGGCTCTTCCACGAACCTCTGGGAACAAACCTGGTTCTCTGTGTGCTCACGAGGCCACTCCAGGCTGGGGGACTCCGAGGTGGGACTGGGGCCCCGAGGAGGGGTGGGGACGTGCCCACTCTGCCCAGCTCCTTACACTGTTCTCTCTCTCAGTCCCTCTAGGTTCTACCCCATGTCCCGCAGGGCCCCTGAGTATTATGGCCCCTACTCCTCCCAGTACCCCGACGATTACCAGTACTACCCACCAGGGGTGCGGCCGGACAGCATCTGCTCCATGCCTGCCTATGACCGGATCAGCCCGCCCTGGGCCCTGGAGGACAAGCGCCACTCCTTCCGCAACGGGTGCGGGTGGAAGGAGCCTGCCAGCTACGGACGGCAGGACGGCACCGTCTGGATCCCCAGCCCCTCCCGGCAGCCGGTCTATTTCGATGAGTTGGATGCTGCCTCTGGCTCCCTGCGCCGCCTGTCCTTGCGGTCCCACTCTGTGCCCCGCTCGCCCAGCCAGGGCTCCTACAGCCGCACCCGCATTTACTCCCCGGTCCGCTCACCCAGTGCCCGTTTTGAGCGGCTGCCACCTCGCAGTGAGGACATCTATGCTGACCCCACTGCCTACGTGATGAGGCGATCCATCAGCTCTCCCAAGGTGAGCTTCTACCTTCCTCATCCCCTGAAGTCCCCTCCTTCCTCATCCCCCGAGGTCCCTCAGAAGCCTGAGCCCATCTGCTGAGAGGAGGTGAAAGTGCAGCAGCATCTAGGACATGGGGACTCTGGGCTGTATGTCGACACAGCCAACAGCACTGCCCAGGGAGCCACTGGTCCGGTGGTCCCGCCCCCCAGGAGAGCTGCCCTGGGGGCCTTGCTTTGCCCACCATGTAGGAACCTTGCTTTCTGTGCCCATCACCAGATTATGCCAAGAACCTTAATTCTATATAAGAGAGCAGAGAAGATTCCGTGTTTTCTTGAGGACCTGAACAGATCACTGCTAGGATATTGCACTGGATAAATGCTGTCCATTTCAGTCTGGAGTCTGCTCTGGGACAGGATACAAATATCCCTAACCTTGAATTTCTGTTGGTGGGGAAGTCCTTGTCCCAGCCGGACCCCCTCACCTCTCCAATTCCCTTTCTCTTCCAGTATGATTACCTGGGAGACAGGCGGCCAGTCCCTGCAGGACTGTACCCCTACAACTACCCACCACCCCCCACGGTCCACGATAAGATGGTACGTCCTCTCCTCCCCCACCACAGCCCCTCAGCCCCTCAGCATCTGCTCCCAGGGAGGGCCTCTGGGCCCAATCCATGGCCCATCTGGTTTTTAGTCGCCTCTGGATACCTCCTTCCTCCCAGCCAGGACTCTAACCCCAACAGAGTTTGGTGCCAGTTACCCCTTCTCTGTGACACAGGGCAGAGAAGCAAGGACAAGAACTGGAAGCACGTAATGTCCTGACCCTCTGGACCTCAGGACAATCCTGCAGCATGCCGAGGGGCCTGCACAGGGCCTCAGGTCACGGGCTGGGAAGAAAGTCAGGCCAGAGCTCCCAACAGCAGGCATGGTCTAGCCTTTCCCCCTACGCTTCCGGTTTGTCCAGCCTGCAATGCCACTTTGGGGAAGGAGTCAGTGGCAGGACTGAGGAGGGAAAGATTTTCCATATTGTGTTTTTTCTTTTCCTCTCCCTCTCTACTGTGTTTCTTCCTGAAATTTGTTCTCGAGAATTTTTGTCTCCACCTGGAGAACTAGAGGCAGATGCCCGACTTGCGGAGCTGGGGAGACCCCCTGGAGCCCACAGGCAGAGTCCTTGTGCCAAAGGCCTGGTGCTGGCCCCTCTCCCTGCACAGCTCCCAGGGCCCAGGTGCAGGAGACCTTGGCCGGTGGGGTGGGCTGCCCTCAGTTCCCTCTCTCATCCTCCCCTGCCAGGGCCCAACTCCAGCCTTGACACACGGTAAATGCACCCATCCAGAAACAACAGATTTTCCCAGAAAACTTGAAACGCCTGCAGGGGTTGCTGACCAGGTTGCTTCAGTGGTGCCTTGCTCACTGGGGGAGGGCCAGGCCGACCAGGGAGCCTCGGAGTGGGGGCCCAAGTGTGTCTCCGGTGGAGGCTGCTCTGGGTGGTCCCACCCCTCGCCCCCACCCACCCTTCCCCAGAACTCCTCCAGGACAGTGAGGTGCTCTTCCTTGCCCAGCTGACTCTTAACTGCTTTGCTTCCTTTTTATTGTTTTCTTTTGTCCTGTTCCTGTTTGTGTGTGTTGCCGTTGGGCCTCGGGCTCTCCGGGTAGGATGAACTTTTAGACCTTCAGTTGCAAAGAAACCTAGAGTATTTGGATCAGCAGGTAGGCAGAGCTGGTGCTCCATCGCCACCCCGCCACCCCCTGTTCCTGCCCTGTCTCCTTGCTTCCCACCTCCTTCCCACCCCCTTATCGTCCATCCATTTGACAACCTTTGTTGGCACCACCGGGACACAACAAAGTGGCTTATATTTTGATTTGCGCCTTCACACCCCTTGTCTCCAAAGCTCTTTAGGGCAGCCGGGAGTTTCTCGGTGGGGGGCGGGAAATAAACGACCACATGCCACATGTATAATTAATGCTACCTCTTGTGTGTTAGGCCTACATGGAAATGCCCTCAGGGGACAGGCAGGAATTTGCATCTTTGCTGGAGACGGTGGCAGAGATGAGAGGGAGCTTCTTGCTTAGACCTTCAGTGCTAGGATTTTGTTAAGCACAAATCTGGGAGATTATCCTATCATACGCCACAGGTTCTTGTTAAACTCCACAGTTTATAAACTAAGGACTACACACCTGTGCAGCACCCCGTGACTTTAGACAGGCCCGGGTCAACATGCTGGGCATTTATCTGAGCACATACACCTATGTTCAGATCTGCGCTACAGATCATGGGGGTGCTGGCCACACACACACTGCCCTAGGGGGGGGCGGCCTGGGGTGGTGGTGAAAATCATGCCAGTAATGATGATAACAATGGCAGCAGCTGCCGTATGGGGTGCCTCCTCCCTGCTCCGTACTATTCTAAGCACTTTACAGAACCTAACTCATTTAATCTTTATAACAACCCTGCAAGGTGGGCACTTTGATTATCCCCATTTTATAACTGGTAAAATGAAAGCACAGAGAGGTTAGGAAACATGCCAAGGGCACACAGCCAGTGTGTGGCAGAGCTTGGAATATGATTCTGAGATTTTGACCTAGTTTACAGCCAAGGAAGCATCTAAAATATGAAGAAGCTGGGGTCAGGCCTCATCAGGATGGTTTTGTTCTCTCCAAGTTGTAGAAATCACCATGAACATGAAATCAGAGGATTTGGCTGTGACTGTTGGTGGTACTAGTCGCAGGCCATGTGACCAGCATCTCACTGGGCCTCCCTGTCTTTGTGCATTCATCCTTGTAACGAACTTGGGCACTGGAGGCACTGATATCTGTATTTTAGTCAACAGGGAAGGCACCCAGCCCTCAGGGTACTGCAGTTTAATTCCAGAAAGCAGCATGTGTTATCCAGTCCATGCAGGCGTCTGGTTGAGGACGCTAGTCCCGAGCAGGCCTGGATGCACCGATCCTCTCCCCTGCCCCAGTGGGAGCAGGCTCTGCTGTGCCTGGGAGTGGTGAGGGGCGGGGCTCTGTGCCCACGGCCTGAGCCAGGCTTTCCTCCCTGTGGCCCACCCACAGTGCCTGGCTGGTCCGCTATTCAGACGAGATCAGGTATGTTCAGGGTGATATGGCTGTAGGCAGGCCAGTTATTCAATTCAGACCGCAGTGACTTTTCTTGGGCTTCTGTTCCCCCAGAGGGGTGGGGCCCTTAGGCTGGGACCTTGAGAAATAACCTCTCAGAGGATCTCCTCCTAGATAAATAGATATTCTAGATATTCTTAAAAGGCAGTTTTATATGATAAGAGTCCAGAACATAAAGTCAGACATGGCACTTTAAAATGGCTCTGCCATTTACAAGAAATTTGTTTTCAATCTTGAAAATATCACTTAGCCTCTCTGGGCCTTTGTTTTCTCAATTATAAAATGAACATTGTGGAACCTGCCCTCTCGACCTCACAGGCGTGTTGGGAGACTCAAACAAGAATGACAGCATTTTGTCAGACACTGGCAACGAGTGGTAACTGCTGCTATGGTTATTCTATTGTTCTTTTCTTCCAGAACTCAATTTAAAATATTAACTAAGTACCTTTACTATGCGTAAGACACTAGGCCAGGTGCTTTTGTACAAGATCTCTAACATTTTGGAGAGACAGAAGATGGTACACAGGAATTCTTCTAGAGATGGGACCCAGATGGACTGGAAGATCCCCAAAGCCATGTCAGGGGTGGGAGCAAGCCAGGGACAGAACAGGAAGGGAAAAGAGCCTGCTTCTCTCCTTTATCACTTTAGATCCACTGGGTGGGGAAAGCGTGATATCAGGGGGGGGTCCAGGAAGAGCCTGGGCCTCCCCTGCCCTCTCACAGCCTGATGTGTTGGTAGATCTGCCTTGTTTTCCATCTGTACATACACCATACACACACACACACATCACACACGGGACACAGGTTGGACACAGGCAGCAGATGGAAGCATACACACATATGTACCACCATGCACAGTAAACACAATCTCACACACACAGGCCCCAAGAAGACAGGGATCAATTTGAGTTTCGACCCTTACAGAAAATGCAGTTGATGTCCTGTTGACTTCCAACTATTTCACAAAGACTCAACCTCACATCATAACTGCTCTTTTGAAAGCCTCTTAATTGACATTATATGCCATAGAAAAGTTTTCAATGAGGCTAACGAGATAGAAAAAACAGATCCTAGGACAGAAAGCCTTTTAAAGTGCTATAGACCCTGCCGATGGGAGTGGACAGGCGCCCCTCGCCGTCCACGGCGTGCGGAAAGGAGGCAAGGCCGCATTTGGACCACCACCTGAACAGGACAGGGAAGTGCGTGTGGGTCCAGTGACGACCGGAAAGACAAGGGCAAAAAAAACCGTGGGGTCTCCTGAGATGTGAACCCAGAAGGTCTGCCCTAAGGTGACCCTGTCCCTTCCCTTACTCGCTTCTCCTCCCCAAAAAGCTTTTCTTGCACGCCCCCTTCTGCTGCCTGTTTCTGCAGATGAATAGAGTTAAAGGGACATAGAGCCAAGGATACTCCCTAATATGTTCACTTTTGAATGCTGTCACATTGGAACCAGTGGGGGAAAATGATGGCATTTCTGGTTGATTTGGTTGGCTTGTCCCCCCATTTCCCTCCCTCCTCCTCTCCCTCCTTTCCTCCCTCGCCTTTCTTTCTTTCTCTGTCTTTTTTGTTTGGCAAATAGTCTTTCCCCCCCATGTTCCTAATGGTCCTTGAAACATAAGATAACGTGTTGGGAGAGCAGTGTTCCAATATCTGGTGTCCCTTTAACATGGCTTGCTTGTTTTGGCCTCCTTATTTGCTCCCTAGCGTCATCCAAGACCGGCATGGATGCTACCAGCCCAGCTCTGGAAACCGTGTTTAGCAATCCTTTCTACTCTAGAGCCAAGAGGTGGGCAGGGGTTGGGGAGAGAGACCTGTGCCTATGTGTTTGGGAAGGCCCATCCAAAGAGCAGGTCCCAGCTGTTCTTTTTCTGTTGTTTCATTTAGTTCAAATTTTGGGAGACTGGCCTTTGTGATGGCCTGTGTGGTCTTTGACCAAAGCAGTGTGAGAAATGAGAGCTGGGGCAAGGAGATGACGACCTTGGCCAATGTGGATGAGACCCACAATACTCAGGCACCCTGGGGAAGCGTCCTTGGTCTGGGGCCTCTTCAGAGCTGTGAGCTAGGGCACAGTGGCCTCCCAGCTTCCTTCTGTGTCCTTTCCTCAAGGGCAGCTTCAGTGCTCGTCCTGAGATGGAGTTCACAAAGGGAAAGCAATGGGTAAGGCCAAGGAGAGGTTGCTGCAGTCCCCAAGAGGAGTTGCCCTTTTCTGTATCCTGGAAAACAAGCACAGGGGGGTTTGGGGAAGATGCCTGTGAGTCTGAGTTTGAATCATCCGTTCCTTCCTCTGCTGCAGATGAGTGAGAGTGAGACTCTCATCAGTATGGTGAACCGCATGGTGGAGAGCTCCTCCCCCAGGGCCCAGCTCTTCATGCAAGTAAGGCCTCTGCCTGGCAGCATGGTCCCTGTCAACACCATTTCAGCTTCTTGTGCATGGTCAAGTCAACCCATCTGGGACGGGGCTTGCTCCACCCAACCCACTCATCTGCCAGGTCTCATCTCCCAGGCTCAGCCTGGTCTTCCTCCTTTAATTCCACTGTGTTTCCTCCATTCTTCGTGTTCATGGATAAACCCAAGGCCCATTTCCCAAACCATCAAAATAGCCAGCATCAACATCTCATGCCTGCCAGGGATCACAAGTCTGCTTTTTAATTGCTTAGGCCTTCCACTTTCTATTTGGTATCTTCTCCACAGACATTACTGGGGTTAAGGGCATGGGGGTGTGATATGGAACCATTCAACGCCAAAGGTGTGAAGAGAGTTCTGTGGCTACTGGATGTGTCGTCAAGGGTAGGGAGCATGTACTGGACCCAGAGACACTTCTGAATTTGTACTGGTTTAAGCACAAGCCTGTGACAGGTGTTCGATCCTCTAGGTCAATAATTCTCAAACATTTCCACTGCTCATTCCATTCTCCCATGGCTTGTTCTCAAAAACAGCTGAAGGTTCACCGTTGTTCTCATGGTCATTGCCAGCAGGCTGTCAGGAGCTCTATACTCTTGGAATCCCTCTCAGCTGGAGATCCTAGAGCTTAGGGAAGGGGAGCTACACAGCAGGAGCTGAGCAGCATCTCTGTCTCCACGGTCAGCCTAGGATAATTGGGATGGAGCTGAGACTGGGCCATCCCAGGCTGCTCAGCCAGGGCACGGAGAATTAGCTCAGCTCAGGGCCCCAGATGGAAGCTACTGGAGGTGATGCACTGCAGTCTCTGGCAAAAAAGGAGCAAAGGTTGTCACTTTCCCACCTCCACATGTCCTTCTGTCCCCTGCTGCAGTAACCGGCCTCCTGTTCCTGCAGGTCCCTCCGTACCCAGAAGTGTTCCGGGACAGCCTCCACACCTACAAGTTAAACGAGCAAGATACAGATGTAAGAGCAGCTCTCCTGCTCCCTCTGTGCACTTCAGCCCCTCCCGCTGTTGTCCTCATCCTCGGGCTCCTCCATGGGGCCTCTCCTCCTCATGGCTCATCATACATTTGATCCCTGTCCTTTCTCACTGCAAAGACAGTTCTGCCCATCCTGCCTCACCTCCTTGTCTCACTCTCCCTACTCATCCCTGCCTCCCACGCTGGCTGTGTGTTTCCCCACTGAGCTCTAGGACTCTTGTTTCTGGCAGTGGGATCTGCTTATTGCAGGAACACAGACTTTGTCAGGAGGTCAGTGGTAGTCCCTAGGTAACTGGAAAGAACATGGCCGTGCCCTTGCCTCCAGGGTGCTTCAGAGCAGTGGCAGACACTAGGTGGCAGCATACGATTCCTGGGCTGAACAGCCCACTGTAGGTTCTGCAGGAGTGCGAGGTAGTGGGTCGGGGTCAGGGACAAAACAAGTAGCATGTGAGCTGGTCTTGAACTAAAGGCCCAGAGGGCAAGAATATTCAGTGGAAAGGAGCCACAGGGTGTTTGAAGGACGGCATGGATAAAGGTGTGCACATAGGAAACACAAGTCTTTCCCGAAGAGAAGTTTGGCCTGACCAGCCCTCCCCCGCCCCCCATCACCACTGGGCTTGCCTGGGCAGCAGATCTGCCCAGCAGGCCCGGGAGAGGTTCCATCTACGTGAGGATCAGACCTCTGAGGGACCCCAGCGACAGCCATCCTGAGGAGCTGGGTAGAGGAGAGAAGGGGAGAGCACATCATGTGGGACTGTGCAACCAGTTTACATTGTTCACTGGTTTTCTGAGATTGTGGCCCAAACACTGCACCCTACCTACCCCTTGAGTCCATACCCACCTAGGAGGCCTGGAAGGCCAGGCCACATTGTCTCCCCAACCCTCACGGATTGAAGCCCTAGGAGGACAGAATGCAGGAGCTTAATGTCTGGCTTTCAGCCCTCTCTTCTCTCAAGCTGACTTATTTCCTCAGAAAATAAACATACCGCCCCTCCCAGTGGGTACTTGGGAGTCTCCCAAGGTAAAGACCATCTTCCTGTTCCCAGGAATTTCCAAAGTCAAGGTGAAGGGCTAGGGTTTCTCAGCAGGGGAAAGGAGGTGGTATCCAGAGGCTGGGCCCTGCCAACCCTAGTCTCATGTCCCCATCAACTGTGTCCTTCACCCCTTCTCTCTCCCTTCCTGCCCCCCACTCCCTCGGAACCCCAGAAGTTGCTGGGCAAATTGTGTGAGCAGAACAAGGTGGTGAGGGAGCAGGACCGGCTGGTGCAGCAGCTCCGTGCTGAGAAGGTAAGAGCCAAGGGGTGGCCTTGAGTGAGGGAACACGGGGGGCTGGCACGGAGGAGGTGTGGGCTGCTATCTCCACCCTGACTAAACTGACAGGGCTTTGCCTTCTTTGAACTTGTGTCCTGTGCTTAGTCAGACCTGCTGACGCTCTCCTGAGGAAGCTCAGGCAGTGTGAGGATAACCTCCTCTGCTCTGCCTGATTGAACCTCGAGGGCTCCAGCCTGTGTTGCTAACAGTCCCAGAGAGGAGATCTCAGGACTGCTCATAGCCATTGCCCTGCCTTTCTTCAGGAGAGCCTGGAAAGCGCTTTGATGGGGACCCACCAGGAGCTGGAGATGTTTGGAAGCCAGCCCGCCTACCCAGAGAAGCTGCTGCACAAGAAGGAGTCGCTGCAGAACCAGCTCATCCACATACGGGTGGAGCTCTCTCAGGCCACAACGGTAACCAAGCGCCGGGTCTGTCCCCATCGGGAGAGCCTCCCTCCCAGGTGGTGCTCCCCTAACCCAATTCTCCTTGGAGGGCCAGAGCAGAGTGCTCCTCCGGGAGGGACAGAGAAAACAAAGACTTGAGCAGTGCCTTGCAAAGAGACAGCCAGCACGCCAGCCTGCTTGTTCCAGGGTCTCCATGAACACTGGCAAATTTCCCACCAACTTTGTTCAGGATGGTGTGGAATCAGGGCCACTCATTTCCTCGGCTGCTCTGATACCTTTGCTGCCCACCTCTGCCTTCTCTCCTGGAAACCCAGGACACTGGCAGCAATGCTGATGTTCTGGTCATGTCCTGTTGGGCACAGGGAGACCCTCCAGTACTGACAGCCTGGGTAATAGCTGTAGGGACAGCAGCCAAAGCCCCAGGAAAGCATGGCCCAGAAAGGAGAGCAAGCCCCTCCCTCCATCTCCTTCCCTCTTGTCCTCCACTTTCAACTGCTGGATCTCAGAGGACAGGAGTGTGAGGGAGTGATGTTTCCCACGCCCTCCTACCCACATATCTGGAGGGAATGGCATGTCCTCTCTATTTCGGTTTGCAATGGGGTGGGCTGGGGCACCTCCTGTGAGGCTGGTGTTTGGCTGTCATTAGAATGCCTCAGCCCTGCACACTCTCCTCAGGGCCCTCTGTGCCCTCCTCCCAGACCTGTCAGATGGCAGGCGCGTGGCCCCAGGCCCAATAGCAGGATGAGGAGAAGTGCTGGGGATGGCCGCTGTCTCAGCAAACCCTCCCCCTTGTAGGCCCTGACCAACAGCACCGTGGAGTATGAGAGCCTTGAGTCAGAGGTCTCTGCCTTGCATGACGACCTCTGGGAACAGCTCAATTTGGACGTCCAGGTGAAGAGGGCCCTGGGCAGGTGGGGGTTGGTGTGTGCTTTGGGTCTTTCTTCCCTGTGCTTTGGCCAAAAGAGACCAGGATGTCTTCCTTTCTTGCTTTGTAGATGTCAGATTTAAGATGAGGAGTTAGTTCTAAGACAAAAGACAAGTTCAGAGCCACTTAAAGCAGATGCTAAATTTCAAGATGAAAATAATGTGGGTTTTTCATTTCCAAGAAATCACAGGGGATGGAGTCCAAGTAGAAGCATTGGAACTTCAGTAAGACGTCAGGAGTTTCATGACTGGAAGAATTTAACAAACATATAAATACAGGATAAATACGAATCTCTCAGGACATCAGAAGAGTAGTCAGCACAGAAGCGATGCACTTGGGTGTTTTAAGATAGGAAGAGGCTTTCCTTTCTGGAACTGGTTCGAAACACTCTGTTTGCAGGGAGCAGGCTAGACACACTGACCTTGGAGCATCTTGTTCTTCGCCTCCCTCTGTCTTGTCTCTACCCAGCACACACACCCCATGCTTCCTCTCTGGCTAGTGTTGCAAGCCCTGTCTCTGTGGTGCAGTTGGAACCCTGGTTTCCCAGGTTTTCCTCCTGTTTCCCTTCTGGTAACAACACTTTCCACACCAGCCTTGCAGCTGGTTAGGTGAGGGGGAGGTAAAGACCCCCCTGGTCTAGAGGATCCAAACGTCACCGTGGTCTGCGGGCAGATTTCAGGAGGTAGGGTAGTGTTGTGATCAGGAGCACCAGCTCTTGGAACAAAAAGACCCCAATTCAGATGCTGGTCTTACAACAGATGGTCAGACCCGAGTCCCTTTATCTCTGAAGTAGGGACAGCTGCTGCCCTCGCCTCATAGACTTGTGAGCCAAAAGGGGTTAGTCAAAGCACTTAACACAATGCCTGGTATGGGGGAGCTAAATAAGTGGTGGCTATTAGTTTTCAAAGAGTGGGTGCTGTAACTGAATATAATTCATGAGTATTTAGGCATATGTTGGGTGTGGATATTACAGAAGAACTGTTTGGATATGAAGAAAAACAGGAAACTGGAATCTCTTACCCCTGGAAAATAGGCTACCATAAAACATTCATCTAAAGGGGTCTTCACTCCAAGACCACCCTGGCCTCCCCTGGAGGGGCTCTGAGGGGCAAGTCCTTACTCTCTTTTGGTCCTGAGTCCTCAGGTCTACCTAAAGGGGCTCTTTCCTGTGATGACTCATTATTAATGCACAGCTTTGTTTTAGAGAGGCTGCCTATGAGAAAGAGAAATGTGCTGGAGTGTGTGTGCTAGAGAATGTGTGTGTGTGCTGGAGGCTGTGTGTGTGCTAGGGATGTGTGTGTGTGCTGGAGGCTGTGTGGGTGTGCTGGAGGCTGTGTGGGTGTGCTGGAGGCTGTGTGTGTGTAATTGTTTGCTGGAGGTGTGTGTGTATTTATATGCGTTTGCATGCACAGGGCTCCTATTACCTCTGGTTTAAGGGATGCAGGGAAAGGGCTGGGACACTCCTCAGCAGTCACTTCCTTTGACCTGCTCTGTGGCTGTTTCAGAATGAGGTGCTCAACCGGCAGATCCAGAAGGAGATCTGGAGGATCCAGGACGTGATGGAGGGGCTCAGGAAGAATAATCCCTCTCGGGGCACAGACACAGCCAAGCACAGAGGTGGGCACCTCCCCACCAGCCTCTTGGGCCTCTGTCTTCACCAGAAACACTGCGGCGCCCAAAACCAGTCAGGGCCTTGCCAGGGCTCTGGAATCTTCCTTCCCCCGGGCCCTGGGATGGTGGGTGGGACTCCCTTACCCCTTGTCCTGGAACCGACCACACATACCACTCAGAGATGCTATTGGCTCTGATACACTAGATCCCTCCCCAGAAAAGGTCAAAGAGCACCTCAGCCTCTCTAGCCACTAAGCCCACAGACCCCTGGTGGTCTGAGACCTCTTCCCGGGAGTCTTCCTTCGGCCTTGGGACTTGGGGCTGGCTTTTTTTGACATCTTTAGGAGACCGTATTCTTCCTTCATCTTCCCCGGTGCAGTACACTCCCCCAGCCTGTGAGCCAGCCCTTATAGGAAGTCCCTTTGGCTGGCCTGGGTGGCACCGAAACACCAAGCCCTCCCTTCCAGTCCTTGGGTCCTTCCCTGCCTCCTTCACCTCCCTAGCCCATCCATACTCCAAGCCCCCCTCCTACCCCATGCCTCACCTTTTTCCTCTTGTTTTCCCCAAGGAGGACTTGGCCCCTCGGCCACCTACAGCTCCAACAGCCCTGCCAGCCCTCTCAGCTCCGCCAGCCTCACCAGCCCCCTGAGCCCCTTTTCACTGGTGTCTGGCTCTCAAGGGTCCCCCACCAAGTCTGGGTCCAATGAGGTAAGCTGAGAAAATGGAGTAGAAGATAGTCGGGGGAGGGAGGACCAGGTCCTCGTCTGCCTGAAACTGCAAATTCTTGCCCATCTCCTCCCCAGAGGCCTCCAGGCCTCGTGCTGTGGCGCTGTCTAAGGTAGCCGTTCATCTCCAGTGTGTGACCTTCCCTCCAGGTTTCTCCTTTACCTGCTCTCATCTTCATCTGCCATCTCTAGCTTTTTGTCAGGGAAGTCTCTCCAAGAGCACCAGGATAGTTAGCAAAGACACCAGACACTTTACAGGAATTTAAATCCAGGATTGCTCCAAGGAGTGAGAGGGTTGCGGGCTGGTGTAGGGAGCAGTCTGCTAGTCAGTCAGTCGGCAAGTGTTCACTGAGGCCCTGCTGTGGGCGAGGGAGGCAGGACCCTCTAGAAAGACACCCAAACATCCCAAGGCCTCCACTCAGGGAGCCCAGTGTCCAGTGGGGACCGAGACTGAAATACAGTGAACAGCCTCAGGAACGTGGTGGTGTGTGTGTTTCAATGCCGAGCCATGTGGTTCAGACCACAAATGCTGATCTTCCAAAGAGAGGGAGGAGCTTGAACTGGGCCCTGGAACGTTGGGACAGGTAGAGGAACAAGCCATTGCAGGAGATGGTGGAAGCCCAGGTACAGGGGTGGGAAGGTGTCCAGGGTGATGGTGAAGCAATGAGGAGAGAGCTTTGGAGAAACCCTGGGGAGTGATGGGGAGGGTACCCAGGTGGGCACTCAGTGGAGGAGAGCCTGGAGGCCGGGCAGAGAGTCAGCTCTGCAGCTGGAGCTCCGTTCACGCCATAGGTGGGAGTTTGGTGGCTCAGGGCCCCCGGGTCTCAGCGACGTTGTCTGCCTCTGCTAACACTCTTTTCTGCTCTCACAGTGGCTGCTCTTGCTCCTCCTAATGCTCTGGCTTCTCTCTGCCTCAGGAGCCCGGCCCACCACGGCCCCCCCTCCCCAAAGCCTACGTCCCCCTGGAGTCTCCTCCCACCGTGCCTCCACTCCCTAACGAGAGCCACTTCTGGCCATATCCCAACTCCCCTTCCTGGCACTGCGGTGGCGAGACAGCCAGGGGTCAGGTACCCAGCACCCTTGGGTCCTGGAGGGTAGGGTGGAGGGAATGGGGCCAAAGGCCAGGCGAGGGGGCAAGGCAGGATGCTGAATCTGCTGAACCATTTCTGCATCCCAGTACTAATTTCCCTACACCTGAGTTTCTGCTCAACCCTCTGTCTAGCTGGACTTGGGACTAAGGAAAGGACAGTTGAGGCACTCACACGGGCCTTCTTTCCCCCTTTTGCTTTCTGTGGACAATGGGGAAATGAGTCACTGCCCTACCCGATGCCCAGGCTGGGAGGGGCCTTGGCTCCAGGGGGTGGTATGACCCACCTCACCAGCATGACCAGCTGATGGGAACGATGGAACCCCACATACATACTGGTGCCATTCCAATTTCCTGCTCTTGTCCACCCCAGGCTCCAGTCCTCCCATGCTCTCTCTGTCTCTGCCTTGTCTGTGTCCTCTCTGAGTCTTACCAGTCCCTGGAGTATAATGATATAGGCCCCTCTCTCCTCTGTTCTGGCCCCTTCTCTCGCCTGGATCCCTAGCGAAGATCCAGGAGAGGTGTGCAGTTAGGCTTGGAAGAGGTTGCACGGTGAGTAGACAGTCCTGTGCCTAAAGCTGGCAAACTCATGTTCTCACCTCAGCTATTGGCATGTATATAACCCCGAGGGTCTGCCCAGCGAGGTAGGAAGAGCAGGTAACAGCACCTCTGTTTCCCAGATGACGGAAGGTGGTAGGACTTACCTGTACTCTCTAGCTGGGCTAGAGTGGAGGTTTCTGACCTCTGGCCTAGGCTTCTTTGTCTGTGTTCCTCACCGAGACTTAGGTTCTTCGACTGCACAATGGAGGGGCAAGGGTGGGGGTGCAAGATCCTTTGTAGTCTCCTGATTCTGTGAGCCACAAGCTAAGTGCCCCTTTTCTGCCCCCAGAATACTGGCACTGAAGTTCACCTGGTCCTTTTGCTCAGGTCTTGGGTAGGATGCAGGCAGAATCCTCAGAGACCCTTGGCCTTGTTGCCCCCTTCTTTCTGGCTCACAGAAAGTCCGTGCTTCTTTGTGCTTGCTAAGGAGACCCGTCAGGTTGAGGGGCCACCTGGAGGTCCCCACGAGGGCCTTGCATTGGCCAGCCTAGTGCCTCCCTGCCCCTGCATAGCTGGCACACATAGAGTATCCCTGTCCCCCTTGTTTTCAAGGGTTTGCACACCAGCCATTGCTAAACAAAGAATGACCACTGGGGACCCAATTCCCTCAGTCACTCTAGCATTCAACCTCTTCTCATTCTTTCTTCACAGCCCAAGGCAAGCTATGAGGCAAGCAAAAAAGAGCCCCGCCAGACATCACCCCTGGACACCTCTAGAGACATCAGCCTTGTGCCCACCAGGCAAGAGGTGGAGGTCGAGAAGCAGGCAGCTCTCAACAAAGGTACTTCCTGACCCGTCTTCCCCTAGAAGGAAGGCTGAGGGTCAGAGAGGAGCCCAGGGAGGTGCTCACTAACTCCTAGAGAGAGTGCTTACCTGCCCAGGCCTTCCGTCTCCCCTGTCGCTCTGCCTTCCTCTCTCCCTGAGGCCCACTGGCTGCTCTGTCTCCCTGCAGTTGGCATTGTGCCCCCACGGACGAAGTCACCCACTGATGAAGACGTGACCCCGGCAACGGTGGTGAGGAGGAATGCTAATAGGCTCACCAATGGTCTCTCCGCCCAGGTGAGTGCATACCTGCAGGCTGTGGGAGCTCTGGCGGGCCTGAGCCCGGCTGGCGGCCTGGGGGCCTCTGTGGGTCCACCCACCTGTCGCCACTGTTCAAGAAACCCAGGGCTGGAGGCAGAAGGCAGAACAAGCAGGAGGAGGGCAGCAGCCCTACCAGAGGAGGTCTTCTTCAAGGAGACAGACGTGTCAAAGGACAAGGAATATGTGTACAACAATGATGAAAAATATTTAACAAAGTTATGATGAAATACAAATAGAGCAAAAGCCAGTAGTCAGCGTGCAATGTGCCGCCCAGAGCAGCGCGTCAGTGCCTTGGTGCTGCTAGGAAGTGAGCAGGACTCCACGGACCTGGGAGCTTAAAGCAACAGGCTTTTATTCTCTCACAGTCGTGGAGGCAGAGGCCTGCAGACAAGGTGCTGGCAGGGACGGCTCCTCCGGAGGCTGTGAGGGAGAGTCCACTGTGCGCCCCTCTCGCAGCTCACAGTTGCTGCTGCCAGTCCTTGGTGTTCTCTGGCTCGCAGACACATCGCCCCAGCCTCTGCCTCCACTGCACCTATTCCGTGTGTCTTCTTGTCTCCCCTAAGGACGCCCGTTATTGGTTTCAGGGTCCACTCTGATTCAGGATGATGTCATCTTGAGATCCTTTACTTAATTACACCTGCAAAGACGCTATTTCCTAATAAGATCACATTCTTAGGTACTGGGGGTCAGGACTTGGGCAAACCTTTTGGGGACTAGTTAATTTACTACAGGCAAGCTTCCCAGGGAAGGAAAACGTCAAGGCATTAGGGCAGATGGAAAAGCTAGGTGGAGGGTGCGGCACCTGTCAGAGTCCCATCTCCCACTGCAGCAGGAGCGCCCCAAGAGTGCTGTGTTCCCCGGCGAGGGCAAGGTCAAGATGAGCGTGGAGGAGCAGATTGACCGCATGCGACGGCACCAGAGTGGCTCCATGAAGGAGAAGCGGAGAAGCCTGCAGCTCCCGGCCAGCCCGGCCCCCGACCCCAGCCCCCGGCCGGCCTACAAAGTGGTAAGTCCCCCCAGGCTCCCACAGGCCTGACACCTGCCAACATGGCCCACTCCCAGGCTGCGGCCAGCCTGGGCTGCAGCAGTCGGCCGTGGCCTGGGGTTTAGAGGAGGAGGGAACAGGGAGGGCCGAGCTGGGCACCCGGGGGGTGGGGGACGCTTCTGCCCACTGGGAAGAAAAGATCCTGCAACAAGTATTTCCTTTTTTTTTGTGTTTAAAGAAAAATAATTCATAGAAAGGAATGCCTTGATTGTTTTGGTTAAAACAGATAATAGAAAGTTCAGTTAATAGAGGATAAGTACAAAATCCAGCACCCAGAAGTAGCCATCGCTTGTAAATGGCTCTAGAGTGCTTTCCGTGTGCTTGGCACGGGGCCCAGCATCCTGAAGACCCCCGTGGCGGCTCGGCAGTGCCTGGTGCTGCACAGGTCATGAACCCTCGTCGTGCTGCCTCGTTCAGTCCTTCCAGCAGCGCCGGCTCGGGGATTATTACCCCTGTTTCCGAGGTGGGGAGAAAAAGTCACGGGAAATTAGGAGGGTCCTAGGCCACACAGCCAGTAAGCGCAGAGCTGGAGGGAGCCCAAGCCATCGGCCTGATTTTTCTTTTTTATTAAATATCTAAAATATTAAAAAACTATGACTCATAAGTCCTGACCTCAAACAGTTTACATTCTGGTTAGTGGATTGGAACTTCTATAATATGAAATGATTAGAGATTAATGAAAGACACACTGAGTCAACTGCTCAGAATAATATGTCACAGGAAGTGAGCAAAGGGCACAGCAGGACGGTAAGTGACAAGTATTGCTGAGAGATATTGATGGAATTTTGCCCCCAGGCCCTTGCAGGCGGGCAGGCCTTGGACAGGCAGTATGGAAGGATAGCTCTGCAGTGGGAGCGGTGGGGTGGCAGCCAGATCGGGTGTACTGGTGGGGACAGCGAGGACACAGCATGGTTGGGGTCCCTGGAGGCACCAGCTGCAGTGGAGGCGCCCACGTCCCCTAGGTGCGCCGTCACCGCAGCATACATGAAGTGGACATCTCCAACCTGGAGGCTGCTCTGCGGGCTGAAGAGCCTGGTGGGCAGGCCTACGAGACACCCAGGGAGGAAATTGCTCGACTTCGCAAGATGGAGCTGGAGCCCCAACACTATGACGTGGACATCAACAAGGAGGTGAGCAGAGTCCAAGGGGCGGAGGGGACAGAAGCCCTGGGAGGAATGAAGGCGATGACCTTGGTCCCTCCGTAGCTCTCCACCCCAGACAAAGTCCTCATCCCTGAGCGGTACATTGACCTGGAGCCTGACACTCCCCTGAGTCCTGAGGAGTTGAAGGAGAAGCAGAAGAAAGTGGAGAGGATCAAGACACTCATTGCCAAGTCCAGGTAACTGGCCTGGGTGAATCTCTACTTCTGCCCACCTGGCACCTAGGGCACCTGAGGCACAGGTGCCACTGACTCCAGCCCATGTCACTGGGGACTCTGAGCCTCCCCAGAGTGGAGAAAATAGAGGCAGTGGCCCAGGGCAGCGAACTGGCCCCAGCCCTGTGGCCAGGGCAATGAAGGTGCCCATGGGTGCCGAAGTGCTGCTGAGCTTGCGCACACACTCTCACCAAGACAAGCTGATGGGTTGCCCTCTAATGACTTCTCCCCTTCGAGGCCACCCTAAACGTTCACTTGAACCTTCCAGGTCATTTTAAAACATTGTGGGTAGGGGTCCCAACATGTGTTTTGCCAGGTCCCACTCCCCTGGGGACAGCCTTGTTGGGGACCAGAGTCTTCAATGCCCTTGCCCCCACCTCACCCCCACCAACCTCAGTCCACAGGTTCCCCCCATAAGCCAATTGGACCATCCTGTCCCCCCCACCATGTCTGTGTGTCTGTACCTCTTCAGTATGCAGAACGTGGTGCCTGTCGGCGAGGGGGACCTTGTGGACGTACCCCAGGACTCAGAGAGCCAGCTGCAGGAGCAGGAGAAGCGGATTGAAATCTCCTGTGCCCTGGCGACCGAGGCCTCCCGCAGGGGCCGCATGCTGTCTGGTGAGAGGGGCTGGACCTCGCTCTGCCAGGGACAACGGCTGACCTTGTGTAGGGGAGGAGGCAGGCGCTACCAGGGGTCAGAGACAGAGAGGAGCAGGGCAAGGGAGCAGTTCCTCAAGGTCAGGACGAGCACCTGTTGAGCACCAGGCGCTGTGCTGGGCTCAGGGTGCACAGGGGCCAGAGTTGCTGATGCTCAGGAGCTCAGAGCCGTGATGACCCTCCTGGGCCCCGTATGGAGGAATGGCTGAGGCCACGTGGGCAGCAAGGGAGCCATTCTTCCTGGGAAGGTTGGAAAAGGCATAGAGAATGGTAATAACTGACATGATTGGTGTGAGGGCCAGGTATTCCAGGGTATCCTTTCACTTCCCGTTCTTGCTGCATGCAGAGAGGAAGAATAAGAGAAGATGGTGCAGGTAACCAGGAGCTGAGAGTGATATGATCACCCCCTTGGCTACTGACCCCATCCCACTTTTCTGCTAAGAAATGATGGTGTGAGGAATTGGCTTCACACTGGCACAAAGAGCAGTAGGAACCAAATGGACAGCGTGAGGTTAAAGTCAACAGGACTAACTTCTACTCAGCCTGAGTCATCACCTGGAGTAAATCAGAGTGTGATTGGCAAGATGAAATGGAGGAAGATGGGAAGAATTAAAGAGATTCTGTGTGAATGGGAGCATGAAAGGTAGAGGAAAGACAGTGGTGAAGTCATGAAGATTGGGAGATGAAGTCTTTTCTCCCTATCAAGACAAGGTGTTAGGGAGGGGGAGGGCAAGGGGCAGGGAGCGGGAGGGCTTTGACGGCCAGTTAAGAGGGATGCCCTGGAAGGATGCTAAGTTGGATGACTCTGGTCAAGGAAGCAGAGACAGGGGTGCTGGCCACAGTGACAGCAGCCTGGCTGAGAGTCAGGCCACAAGCGGGTAAGGATGGTGGCCAGGAGCTCAGTGGAGGCGATGGCACTTCAGGTTGGTGATTAAGAGCGTTTTGAGTTCTGGCTCTCTGGGGCTCCAGCTCCTCACCTGTAAATTTCAAATCAAAATACCTGTCTGGTCGTGCAAGGAATAGACAGTGTGTGCCAAGCACCCCGCACAGTGCCAGGCACTCAGCAGGCACTCGATGGAGGCCAGCCAGCGGTGGGTGCGGTGGTCCTGGGCGATGGTGGTGGCACAGGTGCAACAGTGGTAGCTGATGTGGAAACGGGGACCAGTTGTGCTTTTCCTAGCTAGCTTAATGTGGATATTCTCGGAAACCAGAGGGCTTTAGGCTACAATGAAGGGCTTTAAGTAAGCCTTAGGGAAGAGCCTGCTGGCACTTAGGTTATAATGGACATTAGCTGGTGGCCAGGGGATGTCCCTGGAAATTTATCAGAAGGAGGCTGTCAGTGGGCCGCACTTGGGGGCAAGAGAAGGATGGGCCTCTGGGAGTCCATCCTGTAGCCAAAGGTAGCAGAACCAGTTCAGCTGCAAGGAGGCCTTTGTCAAACCCCTGTAGTTTAGCTGTGAAAGGAACTTCAACCCTCCAAAGATCAAATTCCACATGCTCTGAGCATAAGGAAACTTCCTGTTTCGAGGGTTAGAGCGTACAACACTATTTTAATACTTCCCTCTGCACCCGCCCCCCCCCCCAGCCCCTTGCTCTCTCTACTGCAGTTCCCCAGCCAAAAGTTCCACGAAAACAAAACTCACCTGGCCTGTCAGATTCCCCTTCCCTACACACGGCTTCCATTTCATGGTCTGTGCACTGAAAGCAAATGGTTACCTGGCTTTTGCCAAAACCCTAACTCTTTAAAAACTGGCCATGGCAGGGCCAGCCCTCAGACTTAGCCCACTGTCCCCACCGCCCATGTCCGTGGGCCAGGTCTCCAGAGCTGCAGATCTGCCAGGCACAGTGAGGGCCATTCCTGGGCGCACAGCGTGGGTGTAGGTCCATGCCGGGTCCTGTGCACATGGGGTGCTGGGTGCAGGTCGAGAGGACAGTGCAGCAGACGCAGGATGCAGAGTTAGCGCCTGAGTGTGCATGCATGGCACGGGCAGTGTGGTTGGTGACAAGTGTTGCAGCATTTGGCGGGAAACACTCGTCGTGAGCAGACTGAGTTGCGTGGTAAAAGGGAAGGTGTGGCAGCATTCACTTTGTATGTGTGGCCTGAGGCCATGTGCAGTGTGTGCAGATACACATGTATTTGTGTGTATTCAAGTGTGCGGGGCATAGGGGAAGGAATGTTGAATACAAATACAGGGGTGTGTATGTCTGTGTGCGTGCGTGTGCAAAATGTCTATGGGTGCTGTGTGGAGGTCCGTTACTGGTGAGCACAGGTGGTGTTTGGTGAGCTGTTGGAGCATGGACACATGTGTATGTGGGGGCCAGTCCAAGGGTGGAGGCAGAGTCTGTGAATGCATGTGTGCACGTGTGACTGACCCTGTCCGCAGTGTGGGGACGGTAACGGGTGTGTGTGTGTGTGTGTGTGTGTGTGCTGTGCAGTGTGCACATAGTGAGACATTCAAGAGGCCCTGCCTGTGTGTGCAGTCTGAGGGAGAGAGCAGTCCTGTGAATGTGAGTACGTGTGACTGGTTACGTGCGTGCAGATGTGGTAGTACTTGTGAACACACAATTGTCACTTCACATCTGTCCAGTACGTACTTCACACCTGTATGAATTTTAATGATTTCAATGGATGTATTTCTAATAATGTATACTTAGGAATTCTCTGCCTTCTTAACTAGGTTACGTTCAACATAATGAGTCTTGCTTGCTCTTGCTCCTTTAGTACCATCCTAAATACCCTTATTTTGCGTACCTCTGTCGAAGGGGTGCCGTTAGGGGCTATAATTGGTTCAGACCCACTCAGGGCTAATTAAATACTCCCAAACTATTACACATTTAAAGTTATCATGTCTACTTTTTACAAAAGATTTTCTCTCTCCAGTGGTACCTTCTGATGGATGTCAGTGGGCCTCTCAATTCCTCTCTCTTAGAATGTTCTTGTTTTAATTCTCCCATGGGCTAGAAACCCTGCCAGTCAACACCCACTAGAACCGTGTATAAACAAGGAGTTTATACACGGACTCCAAGGAGCTGTCCTATGAGTGAAGTGTAAGAGCTTCACTGAATGTATGTTGTACCTTCTATCTGGCCTCCTGGAGCTCTCCCTGCCCTAGCGTTTCAGTTTTTGACTGTTTGAGAAGCAGAGGTTGCCAGAGGACTAACCGCCGTGATACAGACATGCACAGCAGTGTGTGTTTCAGAAGCACTTGTGAAGGGTTTGTATGTGAACTTATAGGTGTGCTGGGCCATGTGGAAGTGCACAGACACACACGTGTCTGAGTCGTGTGCCACCAGTAAAGGTACAGCTTTGCTGGGTCCCATGCACGATGCCTGTGTTGTGTGCAGGCAGACACACCCTCCCGCTCCTGGGAGAGCTCCGAGTCTCCGCTGCGTGTGTGGGTGTGTGCGCATAGGTGGAGGGCGGCACGCTGGCCCTTTGTCTTACGCAGAGGGCAGGGAGGATGAGGAGGTCCAGGGCAAGGTGGGGAGGGAGTTGAGCAGGGAGTTTACACCAGGACCCCTCTCCCACAGTAAACATGTGTGACGCTGGCTGAGGTCTGGTTCTTCTCTGGGCCCGAGTGAGGACAACTTCTCCGTCCCCCTCCTGCCTCATAGCTGGGCGGAGGGTGCCCAGGGCCTGAGACTGCACAGAGTGGGCCCCTAACAATCCAGCTCCGTCTCATTGTTCTCAGCAGGGAAGAATCATGATAACAGAGTACAACCTCATTAACTCAAAGCCACCACTTCAAGGCTTGTAACGGTTTGCCCAGGGGTGGAGGGAAGTCTGCCCTCCCTGGACTGAGCAAGGGGTCTTGAGTGGCAGCCGGGCACACACGCTGAGCCCTCGAGCCTGGTTATTGGAACTCACTTCCGGCCTTTCAGAAGGCTCCATTTTACTGGAATTGATTAACATGGTGATCACTTCACTTCGATCTAGTCATAAATGGGGACCTGATCATTTGGACTGGTGTGATTTTACTGTACTATTAATCATTATCATAGTGATACCACGGTAGATAAGGTGCCATCCCCTATTCTGTCCACACACGAGTGGAGAGGTGTGCAAACCTCCCCATCGTCCCAATGGCCAGGGAGCCTTGGGCCCAGAGAGGCCAGGCCTTGCCCACAGCCACCGTCACACTGGTTCTCAGCGGAGCCTGGACCTGCCGGGTCTCCTCTAGGGTCCCATGCTCTCCCCCACCGCACCTGGAACGAGGCTGGCTCTGCCTTAGCTTGAGCAGGTCCCCAGGCTCAGCTCTCCTCTCCGCTTGCCTCCCGCCCTGCCTCCCTCCAGCCCGCCCGCCCGGAGCAGGGCCTCACCTGCTCGCCCCACCCACCTCGATTCACTTCCCTGTTCATTTCTGTTTCCAGTGCAATGTGCCACCCCAAGCCCTCCCACCTCCCCTGCTTCCCCGACTTCACCAGCCAACCCCCTGTCGTCTGAATCCCCACGGGGCGCCGACAGCAGCCATACCATGCGGGTCTGAGCTCTGATGTAAGCATTCTGTAAGCATTCTTCTACGTGTTTCATCCTCCCCGGGGAGGGGGGGGGAGTGGGGGCCCCGCCCTCACCCCACTGAGCCATCTGCACCGCCTCATTCCGGCATTGCTTCCCCCTCGGCCCCAGCACCCACGCTGCTCTCCCCTCGCCATCCCTTTGCTTGAGCCCCCTTGTCCCTGTGCAGTGCTGGACTAGGGCCGGCTGGCAGGGCTGCTGCTTGGATGCTGCAATGCCAACAGGCTTTGCTTCTGGGAAAGCAGACAGGGAACAGAGCTGAGATCTCCCTTGTCCGCTCTCGGGAAGGGACTCCTCAGACACTCCCCGCTGTCCCCCTCCCGTACCTCCTGTTGACCCACAAACCTTCCATCCCTTGAGATACACAGCAGCCCTGCCTCAGGGGCACCCAGAAGCTGTTTCTCCCAGATCTTACGTAAATTAAAATAACATCAGAATCTATAGCCAAAGGCTGTGCACCATCCTTACCTCTAGCACACGGCCGCTCAGTATCAGGCAAACAGAGAAGCATGTTCACTTCTAGGTACTGCTGCCCCTCTCTCAGGGTTGAGGGTGTGGGGTGGGGGTGGTTCCCACAGGGCCTTCACAGCCAGAGTCGTCTCTCTCCTGGGAAGAGTTGGCTGAGGTCTGCTCTGTGCGGCACCTTTCTCACCCGAGTTCTCTTTTCTTCAGCGCAAGCCCTGGCTGCCACCAACGCTGTGAAGCTCCCCAGAGCCACCCGCTGAAGCCCTCCTCTGCCCTTCTGCAGTCCTGGCCCCACCCCGGCCCCAGGCCCCGTGCACTGTGGGAAGACTGCCAGCTGCCAGGCTGGGGGCCAGGGCTGCTGCCAAGAGGAGTCCGGGTGCTTCGGTGTCCACACACCTGCCACGCCTGGCCCTGAAGCCCTCACTGCTCAGATGGTGGTCCTCAGCCAGGGCCTGAGATGGTGGGGTGGGGAGCATCCTGTCTGATGCCCAAGTCACAGGGAGCCTGGGCCTGACTCTGGCTGGGGTTGTGATGGCCCTACTGGAACATTCCTTGATGGAGAAGACACCCTGGTGGGAAGGATGCTCTGGGCTGCCTTAGGTTAGGAGTAGAGGTGAAGAGAAGATGAACACTGCCTCATCCAGCCCTTCTTGACTCGAAGGACAGCACCTGCCATCTTCCTCGTCCCCCATCAGCCCCATGCACTGCCCCAGCTGTACCCAAGGCTTTAACACATCTCTGCTTATGGGCTCTCCTTTGCAGTCCAGTGGAGACTGACCACCCTGCTTGAGCCAAAGACAAGGTGCCGAGAAACGGGGAGACTCCCGGGCCCCCAGAGGGGGCGGTGCAGGCTGGGAAGGAGAGCAGCAGGTCTGTGCAGGGTCTGGCGGAGGTTGGAAGGGGAGAGAGGAAGGCAGAGGTCCTAGGAAAGGGAGGGAAAGAAGCAGCAGGACTCATTCGCAAGTAAGAGGACAGAGATGGAGGGGGGATGGGAATGGCTTTCTGAGGTGAGCCTTGGTGCAGTGCCCAGGACAGTGCCAGATTGTCAGCTTAGCACTGCCCACCCCAACCCCAGGGTCAGCGGCCTGCTGATGCCAGGGCCCCAGGAGGCCTCACCAGTGAGTGCGCGGCTGCCTTCGGCTGAAGCACTGGGCTCGGGGGTGTGGGCTGGGAGTGAGCGGGCTGTGTAGGGCAGCCTGGGACGTAGGCGGCCCTTCGTAGGTCTGGGCCCGGCGTGTGCCTCCCCTCCTTTGGGAACAGAGAGAAGGACCTGTCTTATGCAGGGTGTGGTCAGCTTTGGGATCTTTCCTAACCATTTTTTTTGTGACCTTTCTGGAATGTGCTGTGGGCCAGCTGAGAGCATGCTCAGGGAGGGGGGATGCAGTCTGGGCCTGGGAGGCCAGGCACTGGGCCCCACATCCCCGGCGCCCCAGGTGAAGGCCAGCTGAGGCTGTACCAGAGATCCCCTTGTAGGTTGGCCCTTTCGGGATCCGCAGGCCAGGGAGACCTGGGGGGTGGGGGAGACAGAAGCCCACTCATTCTTCTCTGCCTCGCCCACCTTGAGATAAGTGTAGCCAGAGAGGGGGAAGCAGGGAGAGTGCAACCGAACTCTTTGCCAGAGCCGCTGCCCTGGGACTCCAGCCGGACCTCCAGCGGCCCTGGGAACAGCCACTCTGTCTTCCACCAATTCTCCACTCCTTCAGGGCTGGGACGGTTACTGGTTCACGTGCAAGTAAAGATGATAGTTCACTCAACAAATATTTACCGAGCGCCTTTTACATACCAGGCACTATTCTAGGTACTTAGGATGGTCTCCTGCTTCCAAGGGACTATAGACCGAGGGGATTCCGCCTGTCTTCGCTTCGAGCAAGTTTGGGCTGCACTTCTCATCTTTAGCCCAGCTCAGGCACCCCAAGCTGTGCATTCTGCCCCTGGGCTGGCAGGTGGGGCTGGCTCTGAGGTAACCCTCTTCCTCCCTCCCCACACCTTTCTCATCCACAGGACACAGATTTTTCAGGGCCTTCCATGCCTTCCCCTTCATTTGTCTGTCTGTCCTTTTTTTAAAAAATGATATTTTAAGAGATACATGTAAAATACCAAGGATTAATGTCTGTATGTCTATCACCTCTCTCAGCTCTTATTTCATAAAGCTGGCCCTTTATGTTGCTTTACATGCCTTAATATATGTTTTATGAAAATTATACATATTATAGATATATATGTAATTAATATATATATATATTTGTTTGGATATCTGATCCTTTCCTAGAACTCCTGCCCAGGCTCATTTTTTATTTTTTTTTTTTTACTTTCCATACCATTCCTAGCATGTTGAAGCTGTACCCCATGCCTTTTGATCCAAAGAAGGGGAGAGAAAGACTTATTTTAAGACAGATTGATTTTACGCTTTTATTATAAAGCAAATCTATTTTCAAGTGTGCAATGTCTGAATGGAATTGGTGAAAAATGTGAGGAGACCAGGGCGGCTGCCCCTAGGTCCCGCCGTCCACTCTTCCCTCTGCCCAGCAGCCCCCTTCTGCCCATCCCTCCTCCCGCTCTGCACGGGGCCAGCCCCAGAGCTCACCCAGAGGACACCTTGCCAGGGGAGGACGCTCTCTGGGAAGTCCTGGTCTGAGGGTTTGATTACACTGTCCGCTCTCGATGACCCTCCGGGGTTATCGGATGTGCCCCTCCGGAGGAAAGTGTTGACGTGTGCTCAGAGGCACGCCCAGGCAGGCACCGAACTGCTAGATGCGCCCTGGAACCCCCTCCCCCATCGCCCTGCTGGAAAGAGTGGACAGCTTCATGGCAGCCTGTGCCAAGCAACACCAAGAATGCCAGTCTGTTCCTTGACGGACCCAGGGTATGGAGCAAAGGCCAAAGGAAATGGTTTGGGATTCCCGGTCCTTCCGCGTAGACGTGTTCGAGTTCCTTGGACTCCTCACACTCCATTTCACTTGTCCTCCCTCTAGTCTGGGTCACATCTGTGGCATCTGTTTCCCTCTGGGACCTTTCCTCTGGGGCTGCCTGTTGTTAAGGGCCTGGTACCTCGGTCTGGCATCCAGACTGCACAGTCAGCTTCTGGGCTGAGGAGGGTCCCACGGACAATGTAGCAGCTCAGCCTTGGCCACGAACCCCAGGACTTTTCTGCAGCCAGCTGTCCCTGGGTGCTGAACTGAGCCAGCTCAGCCTTCCACACTGCTTTACCAACTGTGAAAGTGGGCAAGCAGCTCTTGCTTTTACAGATATGGGAAATATGGAAATCTTTTGTCCAGATCTGGAATCTGGGGGTTTGGAACCTAGCACAGAGCTTCTCCCAGGACTGGAAGCTTGACCTCCCAACTTTTGACACTTACTGGCCCCCGTTCCCAGCCTACAGCATCTTGCAATGAATGAATGGGGACCAGATGGAGGCCCAGAACTGAGTAACCCACCTGGGTAATAGTCCTAGTACTAATTTAGAGCCTTCCCAATTAGCACATTACCTCCCTGATCAATAACCAAGAGGCTGTAATCAAATATTGCTACTGTCACTTTAAAGATTTTCTGAGGTTGCAAGCTGTGCACATTTGCCCTTCTGCCTTGGTGAGAGGCACGTTCTCGGGGCCGCGCTGATACAGCAAGAGGAAACCAATTCCTTTCCCCTCTGGGCACCACTCCCAACCAGGAAGCTCTCAAAACTAAGGAAAAATATAAAATATACATATATACATATATCTATTTATGCACATATTGGGGCCAATCTGATTTGCTAGTATTAGACAATAAACCATACAAGGAAATGTATGATCTCATTGTCTTTCTTTAGTATAAAAGTGACCTTAGAAGAAGAGTTAAGGTTAAATAAAGAGAGGGCATCTCGGTCAGGGGACCCAACAGCTGTAGCAGCCCTTTAGCACCTTTCTAGTCATCAAGTCCCCTCTCCCAGGGAGGGGCATCCTGACCGACAGTCTAGCCGTTGGGTCCGCTCTCAGCAGCATTCTTTTTAGAAATAGGGACTGAAGAACCCCGTGAGCTCTGCATTTGTATATTGCAAGTTTGTATGAACCCAGTGCAGGAAATAAAATGGTTTGTACAAGTGGTGTGTCTCTCACATTCTGTGTCCATGTCTGCTTGTGGCTGGCCTCAGGGTTCATGGCAATTTATGGGGGCTCTGGGTGGGGCCAGGCCTTCCTAAGAGCAGAGCTGGGTTCAAAGCGGATGCACCCCCAGCCCAACCCTCTGCGTCAGACTGCACAGCTCCACCCCCTGCCCAGGCAGCAACCCCAGCATTCTTACAAGTGTGCGCCTCCCTGTGCACCAGGCTTGGTGGCGTGCTGCCAACACCGTGGCCATCCTTTTGGCTCGGGTGGCCCCAGATCAAGGCCTGTCCCACCATCCTGTACACTGGGAGTATCAGATGCTTCGTGCCCTTGAACCTTCTCCTTAATTTGGTCTCTGAGGCTGAGGGTAGGACTGTAGGAGAAGAAAAACAATTCTCAGCCTTTCTTGATTGCTACACAATGTCCTGCATTTCCACTTAGGGTATAAGAGGGTCTATGATTTGGGGAGGGGGTGTCAGAAAGGCCACCCCAAATCTTTTCATCCAGCCTCAATGCTTTTGGTTAATTTCTCTTGGCAGGTAATCAGTCAGTAGTTATCAGTTATTGACAGTGTGAAAGACTGAACTAAAGCTTCTCCATCGTTCCTTGAACAATGAGGCAAGAAGCCCTATAAATTCTACAGGCTGGACAGTGGTGGGCCTCAGCTGGACTCATGCAGGATGTCTGGGGAGAGAGCGAGGTGTGAATAGTTCAAGGAAGAGAAGAAAATTGAGAAAGAGGGGATGGGAAGGCAAGCTTCCTCCAATTTGTGATTTTGCCTTGGTCTGGTTCTAATGGCTGGCTTTGAACCCCGGACACCTGTCCTCGTTCCTGAAAGGCTAGTGGAATAGGTGCAAATGAAGTGGCTATTTTGGGGGCTTTGTAAGATCCCAGGGAGTGCTATAAACCCTCATGTCCTTTGTGAATCAGGGAAGGTTGGGACCAGGTGCAGGCTCAAGACAGGCCTTTTGGGTGGGGGGGGGGTGGGGGGTGTATTGCAGAGCTTGTCAGTTTCCTGGCTGCGTCTGTATCTGCAGCTCCAGGGAGGCCAGAGCCCACGGCTTGGAGAGGAGGTGGCATGTGAGAGCACAGAGCACCACTGGGTGTCACTGTACCCACGGACAAGGCTGGCTCCTCTCCAGGGATGATGCTCACAGGTCCCTGTGCACTCCACATCAGGGCCCAGCTCAGCCCTCAGATGGTGACAGGCTGGGCTGTAAAAAGGGGTGGCACTCAGGAAATGTCAATAAAACAGCAACTAGCAGAATGCCCTGTTAGGAGTGGTGCTCTGCAACTGTGTGGCCATTTATTTATTCTTGAACGATGGCATGTTAGTGTCAGGAAGGCAGCCTGGCTCCGGGCCTGCCACTGCCAGGGAACTGGGCCGGCCGCACGCCGCACCTCGCACCCCTGCGCGTCCAGTGAAGGGCTGGCCCCCCGTGTTGCAGAGACTGATTGGAGAGAAGATTATATTGTGCTCAACTCCTGGCTCAGCTCCTTGCTAGCTCCATGAAGATTTGCACAAGTCACTAAAACCCCTGAGTTCCAGTTTCCTCATCTGTGATATGGGGATATTTACCCCACATTATGGGGTTCTCAAGAAATTCAAACGAGAAAATAGGAGAAAAACACTTGGAACGTGTGAATTCACTTATAAATGTGAGGAGGGGTGGCAATCTGTGCGGTCCCTTGACCTCCTTCAGGAGCATAATGAGGGAAGAGGGAGCATGTTTCTCAACGCCCCCCCTTCACTTAAAGATGTCACCAGAGCTCCTGCTCTTTAGCCCTCTGAGGTGTCTTTCCCCCAAGTGAAGAGGCTCCTCCCCCAGAGGGCAGACAGTGGAAACCCCTCTGGGCCTGGCTCCGGTATCCAGGGCTGCCACCTGAGACGCAGCCCAGGAGGGCCCAGTTTCAGGAGAGTTTGGTTTGGAGCTCCCATGCAGGCTCCATGGCTGGGGGAGAGGTATTCCAAGCCACTTCGTACATCTGTGGAAGCAGTTTAGAACCACAGCTCAAAATAAGAGCAGAAGTCTTTCGTGTAAGAGCATTTAATAGGATACTGATAAGAGTAATACTAATAACATCAGTAATTGTTACAACTATACGAGAAGAGTTATCTCAATTACTCCAGGCCTTTTAAGACCCTACAAACTGAATTTCACCTCAACACATGACGGCACTGTGGCGAGGAGAGTAATAACAACGGCTCACAAAGTGTCTGCTATGTGCCAGGTACCCGGCACTCTGCCCATTCCATCAATTTACTCTCTAATCCTTGTTTTACCTTTGTGTGAAAGGTACTGGCATTATCCGAGAAACTGAGGCACAGAAAGGATAAGATGTCCAAGGTCTTGCAGACGAAGGATGAAGCCCAGAGTACTCTGATTTTAGAGTCAGAGCTCTTAACTGACCAGTGGTTTCAATGAGGGTGATACCACCCCTGGGGGGATTTCAGAAAGTTTGGGGGGCGCTCAAGTTGTCTCAGGGCTAAGGGGGCAAAACTCTGGCTGTATTTAGTGGCTGCGATGCACAGGGACAGATTTCCACAGTAATCATGGCCTTGTACCCCCACAACTTGGTAGTGTGCAAGTGGGCTTCACCTGAGACCGGGTAAGCGTGCAGTTCACAGTAGCACTGAAACATTTTTATAAGTTTCCAAGTCTTTTTATGTTTCCTGAGTAACTCAATAAGTTAGAAGATGGTTATTATAAAGAAGTAACTTAGAAAAAATAAAGACATTGTCTCAAAATCATTGAGTAATATACTCCACAATACATTATGTCTACACAATGTATTATAACATTTCAGCCCTGTATATTTGGTTGGAAACAGCCCCAATGCAATGGTTTTTGACCGAATAAGAGACTGAGTGTAAATATTTAATGGAGGAGATCTGAGAGACTCAAACAGCATGAGAGCAAAGACACTTGAAACAATGACTATTTCTAAAAAATATTTCATATTACTGCCATTATGTTTTTTAAAGTTTTTGCAGCCCTGGGATGGACACCTATGTTGTAAGGGCTATGTGTGTGTGTTTTTTTTTTATAAATATAATCTTTTATTTTTTTTAATATTTTATTTATTTTTAGAGAGGGAAGGGACGGAGAGAGAGAGAGGGAGAGAAACATCAATGTGCGGTTGCTGGGGGTCATGGCCTGCAACCCAGGCATGTGCCCTGACTGGGAATCGAACCTGCGACACTTTGATTCGCAGCCCGAGCTCAGTCCACTGAGCTATGCCAGCCAGGGCGACTATGTGTGGTTTTAAAAAAATGTGCCCTGGCCCTGGCTGGCATAGCTCAATGGATTGAGCGCTGGCCTGTGAACCAAAGGGTCGCTGGTTTGACTCCCAGTTAGGGCACATGCCTGGGTTGTGGTAAGGGATGTGGAAAAGGCAACCACACATTGATGTTTCTCTCCCTCCCTTTTCTTCTCTAAAAATAAATAAAATATTTTTTAAAAGTGTTCTGGGGAGTTGCCTGTTGTTTTTTTATCTTTCTCTGACACTGTGTCAGGGGCCCACATGCAATTGCCTTAAACCATGTATATCAGCATTTCTCTTTCCAATTCATCCTTTATTCCCCATTGCCTATTAATATATGAACTCCAAGGCCTTTTAAAACCCTACAAACTGAATTTTACTTCAACACATAGTGGCATTTTAAGATGGAGATTCATGTGTCTGTGATACGCCCCCTTCGCCACACACGAGGCCATAACATAGGGAGCTGCCTTAACAACACGCGCAAGAACCAGTTCCTCTGCACTCACATTGCGCTTCCTCATGTTTTCCAGTTGGCCATCTCTAATTTGCTTTGCTTTATTATTCCTACTTCAATTTAGGTTATTTCCCCTTTTCTCTTTTTATGCACAAGTACATCTTGTCTGTTACTACTTACTTAACATTAATTTTGGGAACTTCTGGCCAAGATGGAGGCATAGGTAGACACACAGTGCCTCCTTGCCCAACCAAGATAGGAACAACAACAAATTAGAAACAGAATAACAACCAAAACTGATAGAAAAATGAACTGTATGGAAGTTGGACAACCAAGAAGTTAAATAGACACGTTCATCCAGACTGGTAGAAGGGGCGGAGTAGGGCAGCCAGCGCGGGTTGCTACACGGAGAGCAGAGAGCCTTGGGACCGGGCGTGTAAGGCATCCTGGGGCACGCAAGACCGCAGTGGGTGGACCCTGAATACACACGAGGCAGCTGGCAGACCCCGGCCGAGGGGTGGCAACTGATAGACCCAGCGAGGCGGCGATTGTGTAGCAAGGCACTGCGCACAACCCAGGATCACAGCGCCGGGAAATAGAGCCTCGGGGCACTGATTAAAAACACCTGTGGGGTTTGAGGTGCAGGGAGTCTCCCTGCCTCACAGGAGAGGTCCTTGGAAAGTCCCATGGGGTGCACAAGCCCACCCACGTGGGAATTGGCACCAGAAGGGCCCAGTTTGCTTGGGGAAAGCGGCGGAAGGGACTGAGGTCTGACAGAGAGCAGAGCAAGCACTATGGTTTGCTCTCAGATCCTGCCCCCACGTACAACGTCAAAACCCAGCAACTGGGGTGCCCCGCCTTGGAGAACACCTAAGGCTCCGCCCCTCATATGTAACAGACTCGACCAGACCAAAGGAAAAAAAAAAATGGCTCAAACAGAATGAAAGCCCCAGAGCCAGTGCTTTTAAGCGACTGAGAGATAGCCAACCTATCAGATGCACAGTTCAAAGCACTGGTGATCAGGATGCTCACAGAATTGGTTGATTTTGGTTGCAAATTAGATGAAAAAAATGAAGGGTACAATAAGTGAAATGAAGAAAAATGCACAGGGAACCAACAGTGATGGAATGAAAGCTGGGTCTCACATCAATGGAGTGGACCAGAAGGAAGAGAAAGACATACAATAAGAAAAGAATGAAGAAACAAGAATTCGAACAAATGAGGAAAGGCTTAGGAACTTTTAGGACATCTTTAAACATTCCAACATCTGAATTATA